GCCCCGACGATGGCAGCGGTAACGGCAACGGAGCTGGCGCTGGCAACGGGAATGGAAATGGCAATGGTGCTGGTGCTGGTAACGGAAATGGTGCTGGCAACGGCAATGCAAACGGCGCCGGTAATGGCAGTGGCGGCAACGGTGGTGATGGGGCTGGTAATGGCGTTGGCGCTGGCGGCCCTCCAGCACCTACTCCTTGTCCTCCTGGTGGCGGCCCATCATCATTCCTCGTCCTCACTGTCACCGTCCCTCAACCTGCGCGAATTATGGAGAAAAAGCAATACTGGAACGCCAATGTCATGGCCTATGGTGGTCCCGACGATGGTTCTGGTGCCGCACCGGGCAGCGGCGGCTCAGGAGTAGCGCCTGGCAACGGCAACGGCGGTTCTGGAGCGGCGCCTGGCAACAACGGCAATGGTGGCTCCGGATCAGCTCCCGGCAATGGTAACGGAGGTTCTGGTGTAGCACCTGGCAATGGCGGCATGGACCGGCAACGGAGGTTCTGGAGTCGCTCCCGGTAACGGCAACGGTGGTTCAGGAGCAGCTCCCGGCTCAGGAACAGCCCCCGGTAATGGAGGCTCCGGAGTGGCGCCCGGTAATGGCAATGGAGGCTCGGGCGCAGCACCAGCGAACGGTGCGCCACCAGCACAGGTTACTCAATCTCCGGCGGACACCAACACGCCCTCTCTCAGCCTTCTGCTCATTCCTGTCACCGTCATGATCGGCTGGGGATCTCTTTTGCTTTTCGTCTAGGATGAACAGGGCTATAATCTCTTTTCTTTTGTCCGATGGATCATTTTATCTCATTTTATGGTGTGCAAGGAGACTATGGCAGTTATTAGAGGATCATGTTGATATCATTTGAGTAGACAGTCTAACATTATTGAGGACTCAAGGACCTGGGCTCTTGTAAGATATCAGATTCGAAAACGAAGAGGGCTGACTAGAGTATTCAATCATATTCCTCTTACTTTTTGTCTGACATTGTGATGTTCTTGTTTGCTTGTCGTACCTTTGACTTGATGAGAGGTATGTTCTAGCAATGACTTTGCTTTGTGACTTAAAATCACGAAGCAAAATGGCAAAAAACGCGTGGCTCTGTCATCACAGGTCTTTAGATCCTTCACCCCAGGTGGTTGTCGGTCTGTTGGCCGTTGGCAAACATAGTCATACGAAATACATGGTAATTGACATGACGTATGTTGAACTTGCACGGTTGCTCGATGATGTATTCAAATTGATAGCTCTCCTTCACTTCTAACTTATTACTGCCTTTTTGGGATTCACAATCACTCACTCCCCAATAACATAAGTACACCCCTCGGGCCCAATCCAGACCTCATGCACCTGTCCAGCGTCCACATCCAACCTTTCACCAGGCCCGTGCGTGGTCTTCTCCTTTTCTGAACCTGGGTAGGCGATGGTCAAAGAGCCGGAGAGAAGGAGGTGCGTGGTTAGGGAGGAGTGTTTGTGGGGAGCGTAGTCTTTTGGTTAGTTGGTTGTTAGTGACGTGGGGGTGGATGGAACGAAAGGCAAACGGGCAAAAAGGGACGGGACGGATAGAAAGGGTAAGTTAAGTAAGGGATAGTAAATGGAGGTGAGGGTAAAAGACATGAACATGAACATACGAGCACCACCTCCATCACTCCACGTAAAGACGCGGGAGAAACCCCAGGAGCGGACTTGGGATTCTGCTTCTTTTCGGGAGAGGGACGTCATATTTGTTGAAAATGGTTCCCAGTTTGTATGTAGGTAATTCTTGGTTGTTGGTTGGTGGCTTTGGTTGGCTTTGGCTGGCTTTGGTTGTTGGCTTTGGGACAAGATCACGGAAACGGGGTACGTATGGGGTATGGGGTGTGTGAATGGGGTGTGGGGAACGTATGGGGAATTGGTCTGGTCTCGGTGGTTTCGGTGGTTTCAGTGCCGTATGGTAGATCACTCGAGGTTTGTAGGTTCGAGTACGTGTAGTGTAGTGAATTGGTGTAGTGGTCAATTGGTGAATTGCCTTTTGGTGACTAGTGATTGTTGTAAGATACTGACTGTTATGACACTTGTTGCCGACTAGCCGAATGGCTTGAACTTACACTATGCGACTATAACTAATTGATTGATTGGCGTTCAGAAGCGTTCTATCTCCGACCGATGGTGATCTTCAGATGTTCGACTGCCAGAACCGTTCACATGGGCTACAGTGGCTGTGCATGAGTGGTTGATGTTGCGGATGGTGCGGATGACGTCACTTTTGGCAGCACAACGAAGTTCACTCAATCTCTTGGGTAACTGAAGCTGTATCGATGTTGTCGGTACCGATTTATTATGATCTGAACAAAAAAAGGTTAGAATCAACTGAAGAGAAAAGACGCAAGCTTGTTGGGGATGCGGACTGAGTAAATAATAGGTAGTGTTATTAAGTACCTAAGGTAGCAAGATCGCATGCAGCTTGTATAACTGCAAAAACTCTCAGCTCTCGCGGACTGCACGCAATTGAGACTTCTAGCTCTTTTCGGACGTCTCACCTCGTTGAGACAAAAAGAGAAACAATGACGGTCTAGAAAAAGCAATTGCAATTTGAGGAAGACAGGGAAAAGAAAAAGATCGAATGCAAAATAGTACAAAAAGAACGAAAAAGAAATGCCCAATAACAGGATTGAACTGTTGACCTTCGCATGGACTTGATATCTCGCAAGACAAGATATTAGTACGACGCTCTAACCAGCTGAGCTAATCGGGCTAATGATTGGTTGTTGGAAATAGTTACGAAACACTACCCTATGAAAGTAGAGATGCAAGCTGCACGCGTTGCTGCGCCTTCACTTGCATCCTGTCTGAGCATCAACTCGCATTTCGCATCAAATCAAGCATTCAGAGACTTGCACATCAGGAACGGATGTAAAGTTACCCAAAGGTAAATCACTTGTATTGTGTTCCCCACTAATCATGGGCGAGGACAGTTAACCTAAAAGTCTTCCCTGCAATACCTCCCAAACCAAACCAATAAATCCTTGCAACGACCTTTACTCCTCGGTCGTGATTCACTTAATCCCTGTCTTCCGTTGCCCTTCTCCTATTCGCCCCTTTCCCGTTTTCCCTGGGTATAATAGTAATGATAGTTCTGTGTGTGTGTGAGATGTTGTATATATATGTACGAAGTATCATATGTATAGAAATTCCTTCGCCAGCGATGGCGGGATGGATAAGTATCCAAGATGATGAACGATGATGCCAGATGCCAGATCCAAAAACCGATAAGAACAGGAGACTGCTAGACAAGAATGCCATAGCTTTTGTAGCCAACTATGGGCCAAAAGAAAAGATAAAAGATAAGGAAAAGATGTGATGTTCTGATAAGCAGTGAATAAGTGGGTTGGTGAGTTAGATTTCCAAAAACGCCCAGGTATGCATGATGTGGTATCAATGATGAGATCGAAGAGATATGAAGAGATGATGAAAAATGACACAAAGGGAAAGAAGGAATGTTTAGAGAAAATCCATCCGTCGCTCATTAGCCCCAGATAGGAGCATTGCGGTAAGCCGGTGAGTTGTAGCTGTGAAGGACCCGATAAGGCAGATTGGGACCATGCGAAGTCTGCATGCTCATGCTGCGCTTCCTATGATGGCTTGTCTGTCGGGGAACGTAGGGCGGGTATGCGCTGTCAGGCACCATCTGCCCCTGAACATCTTTGTAAGGGTCGTGTGTGGGCACCCCGTAGACACTTGACATGTCTGGAGGGTGAGCGTTTTGGAGGCGCAGCTGCTGATAAGCATCGTGACTGGGCCTGTGACGAAGCGTTTGAGTCCGCTGAATGTAGGAATTATGGCGCGGCTGGGCGCTGCTCGGCCTTTGTACCCCATTAATGTCCTGACTCTGTGCCGAAAGCGAGTTGTGACGGCTTGCTTGAAGCGAATTGTGACGACTCGTTCCATTTGAGGATGTCATGGAAGACTGACGGCTGATATCGGCCCTGATGGGTGGGTTCCAGTCGGGAATCTTGTAAGTAGGAGGCAGTGTATTTTGGCGCTGCCGGAAAGCGGAAAGTCGTCGAGGGTCCATCTGGGGAGGAGCAGCCGAAGTGCCCAAGTAATCCTGGCCAATGGTTCCCATTTCCTGGTGAGCACTGTAGTTCTGAGCTGCCTGTTCGTGCGTCGGGTAGCTGTGGATGCTTTCCCTGCTCGGCCTGCGACTGGACTGCGCAGACGGATAGCTGTGAATATTTTCACGGCTGACCTCATGTCTCAGGCTGGAAGTCGATGACTGTGGGCGAAGGTGAGTTTGAGGAACCCGAAGCGACATACGCCTCGTTTGCATGCTAACAGGTGGTTGGTTATGCGTCGTCTTGTGATCGAATGTCATGGACATGGTTCGGGGAAGCACTGGGCTGGGAAGTGACGCGGGAGGCAGTTCCATGGGAAGGCTAGCCAGGTTCGAGTGCGCTCCAACCATCTGCATATTGAGAGTTCGCTCAAGCGAGACAGTAAGACTCATGGCCCTCTCGCATGGCAGTCTGGAGTCGACCATTTCCGCGTCCTTGAGTGCTTCAGACCCGAAACTGCTCTTGACGGTGCCGTACACCTTTCCAGTCTTGGGTGGAAGAATCGAATCGTAGACGCCCGGTTGCTCCTCTTTGCGGCCCTCCTTCGCATCATCTTTGCTGACGGGTACGGGCTTCCTGACCATCGACTTTCTGATCGATTTTCTCCAGGAAATGCCCTTGGTCGTCGCGACTTCGCCAGTTTCCGCCTCAGGAACTGTGGGAACCGCGGGCTTGGCGGCGACCGCGTCAAGGCTTGCTTCAAGACTATTCACGCTAAAGATGGTCTTGAGGGTATCCATGCTGGAACTCTGCTTCAGAGCCAACCTCTTGGTGGTCATGGGAAAGCGCCTGCCGTGTTCGCGGAACTTGTGCTCGACGTCCTTCGGGACGGGTGGAACGCGCTCCTCTTCAAGTCCATGGCGGCTGTGTGTAGCCAAAGGACCGCTAGGGCGGCGAGCTCCGCTCAAAAATCTCGACAGCCTGCTTGGCTTCTGCGAGATGCTGCTGATGCTGAGAGCCGAGTTCGAACGATCTGATTTGCTGGACTTGGTGCTGGCTGGAGTAAGGCTGTTGAGTTCTGGCGACTTCGGGCTGCTGCCGGTCAGCGAAGGACGCTTTTCGCTTTTATTTGAGGACTTGGGAGTCAAGAGGCCGGCTTTAGCTTGCTGGCCGCGGAGAGAAAGACTCTTCCGGAGACTCTCAAACATCTGGCCTCCCTCGAGAGGAGAGATCGGGGGAGTATCCTTGGGAGGAACAGGTGGAGGCGCCTCTGATTCAGGGGTCATTAGGGGAGAAACAGTGAGTGGAATGTCGAGGCCGAAATCTTGAACCGGAATGGTCTGTTTGTCATTTGACTTTTTCCTCTTATGCTCAAAGGTCTGAGACTTGGTGTGAAGCGAGCGCAAAGACACATTGGAGCTGTATCCGGAATCGGCTTTGGCCAAAGGCTTGATGTTCAGAGGTTCGTCAGAGAGGCTCATGAAACCGCTATCTGTTCTAGCGACAGTCGCAGCTGCGTCACCGATGGGAGATGTGCTGGGCTGCGACTTTGCATTGGGATCAAGACGGACGTCCAAAACTTCGTTTGAAGAATACTCAGGCTGAGACAGGGCGGCCGGGACGCTGTTGGCTGGTCTCACAACGCGCGGCTCAGGTACTTTGACCTGGAGGAATTGATTCGCCTCCGCACGTGAATCTATGCTGCTCTGAACCCTCGAAAAATAGTCCCGTTGTCCCTTCCTCTCGAGCTCGGGGCTCATTGGGCTCGCAGAACCGTTGGTAATACGCAATGTTCCCAGTTTGAAAGCTCCAATTGACTGATATTCGTCCTCGCATGGTGTCACAACCCGCTGCAAAAGCTGTGGGTCTAGCCCAGGTGGCGGCATGGACAGAATACCCTCCCGGAAAGACTCGATCGACTGCTGGCGCGAGATCTGCGGCGTCTGTGGATGGCTGTATCGAACTGACTGCGAATGGGTCAGGCCATCTCTCGTAGAAGTTCTGCGCGTTGCCACACCGGGCGTCTGAAGTATCGATCGTCGGCGGACCGGCACATAGAGAGAAAGGTCGGAGTTTGCGCGGCTGATAGAAGCTCCGTTGTAGTCAAACTGGTCTCCGTTCCACGAGTACTCTGTCATCGTCGCCGCGCGCTCTGATACGGCACTTGTATGTTCGAAAGCCGGCTCCTCTGCAAGGTTGATTAGTCGTTGAGAAGCATAAGTAGCTGTATCGTAGTTCCAAGTTGTGCGGGTTTGAGGCGGACCAGCCCAGCTGCGGAAGACATTTGTTAGCAACCTTTTAGAAGGGTTTTGATGAAGGGAACTTACCTGTCCTGGCGTGGCTGCATATAAGCCGCGGCGGCGGACTCAAAAGTCATGGAGTTGGACCTGGGAATGGTACCTGTGGCGGTGTTGCAATTCCGTGAGGTTGGCCGAGCAGTGCTGGCCCCCTTTTCCTTATGAGGATTTCCTCGTGAAGACTTGGACCGAAACAGACTCATTCTCTTGGTAGCCTTTTCTTGTATCGACTTGAGTGACCCTTTCTTTTCCAATTCTGCCTCTCCTTCCTCCGGGATACCCTCGGACACATCGGCGGATGGGCGCATTATTGGCGCTGGGTTGGTTTCGAGAGGTACATTTTCGGGACGAGCAGGTAGGACGGCGCTCTGGCGTTTTAAACTGGTAGAGAGACCTCCGGGGTTCAAGAGAAGTAGGCCTTCGTTGGTAGGGTTGGCGGTTTTGGGCTTGGACAGCCTCTGGGGAGACGACTTGGGGGACGACTTCGGAGACGACCTCGGAACAGGGGTTTCGACTGCTGATTGTATATTCCCCATGATAGGTTGGTTGGTATTAATGCTGCTGGAGGAGGAGGGAAAGCTCCCTGGCGCAGAGACGGCGCTGGCAGGATCGAAGAGGGACGGCAGGATATTGCTATGCCTGTGCTGAAACTGCCATGCCGTGATCCGTGAATCGTGATATCCGTGATGCGGTGATGATGGTGGTGACCCGGGGTCTAGGTATGGGGAACGACCCTTATGGCGGCTTCATGTAGATGGACCTCGGCCTCTACACTCTTTCGTATTATTAGGAGGAGAGGAGAGGGAAAGAGGAACTGGACATGGAAACAATTAAAGCGGGAAAGCGAAACGAGAGGGAGGGAAGGTGGGTCGGAGCTAAGGAGAGATGTGCTCGGGTCTTATCAGGAAGGCAGCATGGACAGGGCAGCCAGGAAAGAAGGAACGGAAGGTACCTACGGTCAGGTCCCAGGGCCGGGGCTCCATCGTCAGCTTGGTTGGCAATGGCGTGTGCTGGGCTTACAGTTGCCCTGGTCCCTGCCGGCTGCTCACTAGTCCGTTGCCGAGTCGCTGCAACCTCGTTGACAAGTTGACATGCTGGTGCTGACAAGACATTTTGGTATTGGCCGTACAGTAACGTAACTTTCCCTTTCCCTTCTTGCATTGCCCTGCGCCGCTGGGTCTGAGACGTCTGACGCCAAAGCAAAACACAACAACAACCCTCTGACGGTGGTGGTGGGGGGAGGAGGGGAAGACCCCAAACGGGAGGTTGGAACCGTTGGAACATGGCAGATATGACAGACAGGGAAACCACAAAGACAAATGGAAATCCGAAAACGACTCTTTGGCAGTCTTGGCTTCTATCAGATCACCCTCTTTTTGCCTCTCAGTGACGCCCACAAACACATGGAGAGCCGCACGGCATTCGGTTCACGGCAGTCCGAGAGCAGACGGTGATGCATCCAACCTTTGGACTAAGAGCGACCACGACAGGATGTCAACAAGACCAAACGTTGTCACTACACTTTGGCTGACCAACTGCCAGGCCCGAGACTTCTCTGACCTCAGGTCGGCAAAATATGGAAATGAACATCAGACAAAGAGCTCTTCCCCTATCCCGAAATTAACTCTTGCCGTACCGGTTGAAATGTGAAAATTGCAGATGGCCAATTTGGTGGATTTCGGATCTTTTCCTGGGATGATGGGCTCCCATTTCACTGAGTGCACTTTGACTTTTTCGAATTCAAGTTGTGGATCTGCATGCCAAACCGGAGAAACTGCGTCACTGAAGCGGGAATGCCAAGGACAAGCCCCAGGCGTCATTCATTTCGTCTCATGTATCTTTCCTCCCCAACAACGCGGGGAAGGTACTTTGCACTTGGGCTTTTGATGAGAGCCCGGAGCAGTCGAACCTGAATCGGCGGACTCGTCTGATATCCCACCGAGAGGTACCTGCCTGCCCTTGTGCCTGTGCCTGTACCCGACCTGTTGATGTACCCCATTTTGCTTGGGCATCCAAATCTGGAAAGAAATCAGGCGCGACAAAAGATTTTCTTTATAAAGAGGCCTTGATGCTCGTCACATCCTTCCATCTTGCGGTTCATCGGCAGTCAACCCTCTTGTTGGCCATTTCACCGCCACGACAGATTTGGGCAACAAAGGAAAGAGTACGAAACAGGAACGGCAACAACAACAGCAGTGACGACGTGGAGCGTGCGTTGGGTCAGGATGAACCCAGACACCTAAGCCCTGACTGATGTTTTGCGGCCAGCTTGTTTCGTTCGCGATGCTTGCAATGTCCCCGTCCTTTCACTTAATGAAAAAGCCGGCTGTTGCTGCTCTCTTTGGGGTGGCACGGCAGGAGGCTTCTTCCACGGCACACTCACTCAACACACACTTCCCGTCAGGATTCCTGGCGCGGAGAAGCGGGCAATAGGGCGGGGATGAATGCTGCGACAATTTGCAACACCCGAAAAGAAGCAAAGAAGGCAAGCACGGAAAGCCTGCTTTTGCAGAGCAATGCGATGATACCCCGATCACAGAACCAGACTTGGGCGCACTGCGGACAGCCAATGCGAAAGGTCATGGCGCTTCCCGTTCAATAGGAAGAAGTGGTATTTCTCATGTCAAGACCTGGGCCAGCACGACCACCATCCAAGATCAAGATGTCATCCGCATGATCTCACCATGAACTTTCTGGTGGTGAGCGACAAGTGAAGATGAAACAGACGCACTGGACTGGAATGATTCGAAGCAGGCGCGAGTGGCGACAGCATCTGCTCCAGGCTCTCACCCAGCGGCCTCAGTTGGCACTAGGCAGACTATGGGGTACAACGTACTTCAACGATCACTTTCATGACAAATGTCAATCGTAACCAAACATCAAACTCTTGTTGACACAGGCAAATCAGAGCAGATCCCCCCCTTTGCACTCTCATAATTCTCCGCCTTGTGGACTCATCGAACCGTGTTTTGGGACTGTCAACCGATCGATTACACAGCACCGGCAATCAATGCACCGTCTCCCGTCTCGCTCTTTCCCCAGCGGTTTGTCCATCACCTCCCAACTACCAAGAAGCGCGCAGCGTGGGTTGATGGAGATGGGTAATTTCTCTGAAATTTGACGTTATTCACATCCGGTATTACTCCATGTCCCATCACGCTGTGATTCAGCTTGGCGAGGGTTTTCTGCACCCTGTGTCTGCACCCTGTCTGCACCCTGTCTGCACCCTGTCTGCACCCTGTCTGCACCCTGACTTGAGTTTTGTCTTGGATTCACCTCGTCTGCACCTTCACCGCGACTGCGCGACAGCAGTTAGCAGAGTTTTTCTTTCAACCGACTGCGGTCTCGATCTTTTGATTTGCACTTGGATGCAGCAAAAGGGCATCGCGTCGCCCACAATTCTCGTTCGTCTGGTGAGACAGGGCGTGCATCGCTAGCAGCGTCGACAGCGTCCACAACAGCAGTCCACAGCGCCGGCCAACGAATTGGAGGATCCACTCGCGCTAACATTTTACGCTCCCCCTTGTCCAGTCCCACAGTTGGCCGAAGATCGCTGGCCAATTCCATGAGGCTCTCTGGCTGTTTTTTCCTTCAGACAGAGAACCCGAGTGCGAACAAGAACGTCATCCCTCTTTATCCCACACTGGGACATCCATTCTTAACCTTGCATAACTTGCACAGAGCATCAGAAACAGAAACAGCGTTATGCATGTTTCAGATAGGCAGTCCGAGCGACCATCTCCAGCGATTGACCCGACATCAGTAACATCCGAACATACACAGCGTCATATCCAGACCGATCATCTCCACGCGCGCACATTTCTCTCAAGTTTAGTAAACAAAATCCCGGAGGTTGGGTCGATGGTCGACTTTCCGGCTCGATCGCGTGCAGTGGTGGTGGAAGACATTCTCCGCAACGTGCCCGGCTGTTCCTGGGAAACTATCTTCAAAACCTCCAACCTATCGTCTGAGCCCGTGTACGGTACACACAGCGGACTGCGGGACCTGGGCCTGCGGAAGTGCGGAGCGCATCGTCCCAGACAGGAATTTCCCGGCGCGAGGCATCTGCTCCAACACCTTTCCGCTTCGTCCTCCCCGTCGACGGAGACATCGCCGGCATCACTAGCGGGAAGACGAAACCACCGTGCAAAAAGAAGGTTGAAAAAGGCACAAACACCATTGGACAATTCGGCTCTACGTGCATGAACCTAAGGTGAGACTGATGGCACGAACTGCGAGACCACGAGGGTCGACAACATGATGTCGTGGAATTGGCGGTCAGTTCAACGATTGTATTCCACTCTTGAGCTTTCACCTTTCCCACTTAGTAGCACAGTATGACTGCGATATCTCCATATCTCCAGCTTCTTCCGTGACCGCCAGAGTTTGACTCTCCGGGGCAAGACATCGAGATCCGATTAAACTTACCGGTATGTAATTTACAACCGTGATACATACGCACGTCGGACGTTGCTGTGTGTAAACAAAACACCACAACAGGTGATGCGAGCTAGCTAGTTGCACAAAAACAACCTCCGAACTCCCGGTCAAGCGCGCATCCTCTGCCCGCTTCCATCCGGGCGGGATCACTTGGATCGATGATCAAAACAAGTACCCGTGGTCCGCCGTTGACCGCATCGCCAGAGTCCCCATCTCCTCATCGGCTCACGGCCGAAAATGGCATATCGCGACAACACTCCATTCCAAAGGGTCCAACTTTTCCTCCAAACCTGGAATTTTCTGGGTTTTCTGGGCGCCTTCTGGTAGAACCGTTCAAGACCATCTTGATCGGTAAGTTCGGCACGTTCCACCCACGCGCCATATGTAACAAACAAGGTGAAGAAGATGGATGCAGTGCAGTGCAGTGCAGTGCAGGCAGGTCTGCCCTGGTCCTGGTTCCATCGAATCCGAAACCCGTCCCCATTCCCCATCCCCCGCACGACTCTGCCATGATCTTGAACTGTGTTCCGAAGCCTGTTTTTGATACCACCATACCATACCACCCCTGGTCCGGTCTGATCGAAACGGGTTCTCATCGAAACAAACCACAACACAAACGTTGGTCTGACATCACCGTCGACAAATCGAAAATGCCGAAAAAAAAGGGACCCTGAGGGGGGAAGGAAAACAGAAACAACAAGTCCCACAATCAGGGCAGATAGGTTCGGATGTCAGACCGAGATTGGAGGGTATTGGCAACCCCAATCCAGAGGGTCTCTTTTCTGCTCCAAATAACCTGCCATGCCCAACATATCTTCAAAGAACAAACATGGAAAACGGGAAGATGGGTTTTGGTTTTTGAGAGATTTGGACCAACTCTCGTTATCATCTCATGTCATATCAACATACCTAGTGTCGACAATCGATAACAGTCGACCTGTCCCCCAACAACCCCAAACAGAAAGAACACTTGCCGTTAAAACAACGTACCTGGCATTAGGATTAGGTAGGTAGTATCCTCCGTACATACTACACTACATACTCTGGTACGCTAAATCCGCCCGGTCAACGGTGAACCTGCGCAGGAAATCCAACGTAGGTATGAAAGCAGCTGTGTCTGTAACATACCGTACAGGACCTGCCTGCCTGCTTGCTACATTAGCATATCCTACCATACTGCCAGGGCCAAAGCCGCACATCCAACCTCCGACCCTATATCAGACGGTTATTATACATGGACAATAAGAACAATGGGACGGGGAACGGGGAATATCTCCTCTTTTTCTTTTTGTCGGTCTGTCCGCTTGATGTCAGGCTTGCTTGACCTCGATCCAACCGACCGACAGATTGTTTTGGTTGGCCAAGACTTGGGAATAATTAACGAAGGTTTGATGTCGGCCAACTTGGCAAGGTTGCGAAAATTTTGGGTTTCCAATCAGAAAATCACTCTGATATAACATAAAACCAGAGACCGGCCAGGTCAAGACATTGGCAGTAGCAGCAGCCGGATAGATGGATGGATGGATAGATGGATGGATGGATGGATGGATGGGATTCCTACCTTAGGTCTTTTTTACATTGGCTGGAAATTGCCATGAACCGACCGACCGACTGACCTAAACGGATCAATGTCTCCGACTAACTACAGGTAATGGAAGGCGACGAACACAAGGCGACGACTCAAAGAACGTTTTGAGATTTCAATGAACCTTGCCTTGCAATATTGACAGTGACTAACTAAGCCTCTCTACAACCTACCTTACCCATTCAAAACATTCACACTTTACATTCTCCATCCCGCTTTCCTCCGTTCGTTCGTTCGTTCGTTCGTTCCCTTTCCCACTTGCTACCCACGCTCGCCCATGCTGTCGTGCGACAGTGATCATGGTGATAATGATGTGCCTGTGCGATGTCAAGTCGGGACTGTACATGCAAGCCGGGCATGCAAGCATCTAGGCGAGCACTTAGGCAAGGCAAGCTCGAGGCAAGGTAGATTCTACGTAAGTGAGTTGTGGTAAGTAAGTTGAGTTGAGTTGAGTCAAGCTGACCGGTCCCAGAAAAACCTATATACCTACTTTATCGGATATACGATATTAGCCCCTGCATCACTCACTCATTCATCATCAGACCATGATATTGATGAAGATGAACCCGAGACCACATCCAGAATATCGAGGACGTACCTATTCGATTCGTAGCATGTCTGTGATGACTTTTCAGTCACGAGAATGTACAAAGAACGACGTCCCAGATAATGATTCGCAATGATGAACCTATCAAGCTTAGGTAGCTATCGTCCAGCGGATGTAAACCATACCATAGAACGACAGAAACAAAGACGGGAACAACTTCGCATTATGCTTTTACATACATGCAGCTAGCTGTATATACGCGCAGTTCTGTGCCAGTCATGGACAAAACACTCAGACTTTCTGTTTATGCCTAGGTAGGTACCCTTGGATTTGGCTTTGGCTGATGTCTCTCCAAAGTCTCCAATCTCCCCTAGTGCCATCTTTACAACATCTCACCCTTGACTCTTCACGCCTGCGGCCTGGATTATGTAAATCTCTTTTCCTTGCTTGCTTGCTTGCTTGCTTTTTCTCTCCTCGGCCTCTCCTCATTTTACCGTCTCACCTATCTTCCAGTCTTGTCAGAGGGGTGCCGACTGGTAGTCTTCGATACCGACTAGACTTCAATCAAGCCAAGCCACATACATAAGCCCAGCCTTTCGCTTCCTTCACCGGCTTCACTCGGCCGGCCGGTGGCTTCACCTACCTTCAACCTCTCATCATTTAGTACTCACTCACCTTTTCCCCCTCCCGTCCCGTCCTGTCCCGCTTCGACTTCCCATTTGGGAAGTGCCAACGGTGTAATGTTTGTTCAGGTAAGGTATGTAAGATAGGTAGCGAGGTTCACCCCGCAAAGAGCCGGACGGATGCTGTTGTATATCTCAAACACTGAAAATGTGGGGGACGGAACAACAACAGCCTTAGACCTACACCCCCATTGCCTGCCATACTATAAATTCAAAAAGCCTGGATGAATGGAATGAGATCTCATCGAACTAGAAACATGGCAAGAAGAGGTCAGGGCGTCGAGCAAAGATGCAATGTTAAGTAACACAGGTCATTTGCAATTACCGTGTGTTTGTTCCATGTGACTGCGGTGTCCCTAGGTGAGTGGCTAGCCTGAGCAGCATTGAATTTACACCCAGTATAGTATTGCTTCTGCGGAAACTCTTACGAGATGTGAAATATTTTTTGTCGTTATAGTGGTGACAACAAGATACCTTAGTGGAACGATACCGTCGATGGATGTGTAAGAGATCACTCAAGGAGACAAAATGCCTTTTTTTCTTTGAAGCCCACTCCCGTCTTGGTAGAGGTAGTCGATAACGTTCACCACACCTATCAACCAGAGTAGGGCGATGACATTCAAGCCAGCCACAACAGATCCCCTTCGCAGAGTGTGAGCATATCGTAATTATACCTACCTAACTAATGTCCATCAAATCAAATACCACTTTTGTCTTGACCAAGTTCTACCTATTGTATCCATACCTCTATATCGATTATGTCGTCGTCTCATACTCCTCACGTGAGCGCCCTGCGAGTTGATCCCTTCCATGATAGCCTCCAAAACCTCTACCTAATCAAGAAAAAGGTTTGATGAGATATCCACGAGCTAGCAAAAATACTCATGCCCTCTTCCTATTTACTACCAATGCCTAAAATTTCAGAAGCCGTCACTCTTGACCTCCGTCATGTCTGGTCATGGAACTCATCGTAAACTCCCACGAACCCCATCATGCCCTTCCTTCATCAACCCGTCTGCTGTCTCCTCCTCCTCCATCAGCCGCTCTCCCTACATATATCCTCCTCCCCTCTTCGATTTTACCAGCTACGCCCGCCTTACTTTCCCGTCTGTGTCCTTCCTCGTCTTCCCTCCTCTCCCTACTTACCTCCCTAGCCCTACCCCTACCCGCAGTCCCATCTTCCTCCTCCTCCTCCTCATCATCATTATCATCCCCATTCCCTTCATCCTCATTCCCCTCCTCATCATCATCAGCACTACTCCCCGCCCGACTCCCACCCATCGTACTTCCCCTCCCTAGATCCTTCAACAAAGTCCCTAGACTCTCGACCAAGGGTGGCAGCGGCTCACTTTCGCTGTGTGATAACGAAGGGAAGTTCTCGCGGAAGATGCAACAGGCTGTTTGCAGCGGTAGGGTAGAGTTTGCGAAGAGGGATTCAACTACTGGGTTAGAAATAGTGTTACTGCTGGAGAGATTAGACGGGTGAGATGGTGATTGCGGTGAGATAGTAAGTGCCGGAATCCCACGACCTGTTTGTAGGAAATTTTGAATCCCGCGAGTGTCTTCCCCGTCGAGAATTGCGAAAGGGGCATCGGGTGGTGGTTGGAGATGTGGTTGGTACTGATGAGGTTGCGGCGGCGGCGGTGGTGGTGGTAGGTGTTGTTGCTGTTGAGAAGGTAATGTCTGTGAATGTTGTGGGTGTTGTTGATGTTGATGGTGATGAGGCATCTGCATCTGATATCCATGACCAGATGGCACCGGGACGGTGACAGATGACCTCCTCGGATCTTCCATCCCACCGCCGCCATTGAATTGCTGCTGTCCGTGATGGCCCGCTCCAAACCCACCTCTAATCCCATCATGCTCTCCACCACCTCCAAACTGCGGCGGCAAGCCCGGCGACCCTGGGTTGGGGCCACCCAAAAATCCATATACCCATAACGTCAAGCTAGCAAAGTACACAGCCATGGCGTTGAACCCCCTCAGTCCCGTAGGAGGCAGTCCCCTCGCCGCTCTAAATACTTGGCCGGCATGCCAGACGGCATACCTCGCATCTGTGCTTCTCACCCACCCACCTCCTCCTCCACCTGCTCCTCCTGGCCCATTACCTTCTCTCCCAGTGCCTGGATAATGATCCTGATGCAAAAAGTGAGCAGACGCCCTTCTCGCTTCTTCCTCGCCAGCCTTCCCCGCAAAAGACTGAAGCTGGTTGAGATCAACATGCAAAGCCAGCGAGAACATCTCAAAGGTGATCGGCATACTCGAGTTTACGATCGATACTGGCGAGGGGACATTAGGGGTAGGCGAAGTAGCGTTCGACCCTCCCGGCGCCGGAAACGGGACTGGATACCGTCTATGCGAGACCGGAGTGTACGGCTGACTCTTATGCGCGTAAACGACGGTGTTGGCAAAGTCCTGCAAATCGTTGTAAAGTTCGCGATGCATAGACTTGAGTAACTCCCGGTGGTTCGAGAAATTGCGCTGCGAGTAATGGCCGTAGTTGCCTGACATGCTCGTGACGGTAGAGGGCTCTTGATAGAACCTCATTCCGTAGCGGTAAGCGGAAATTTGGCCCCAGAAGGCGTGGAGGACGGTGGTGTTGACGAGCTCAATGTCAACAAAGTCGACGAAGTCGTCGAGTAGGCCGGGGCAGTGTATAATTTCGTTCATACGGGGCATGGGCCGGTCGGCAGGTGGTTTACGTTTGGAGAAGTGCAAGTCGCGCCAGGCTCTGGCGGTCGGGGCTTTCCAGAGGTCGCGAGATGAGGGCAGGCTAAAGCAAAGTTCAGTGAAGGAGAGGAGAGGTGTGGTCTGGAGGGCGACAGAAGTTTGCACATCATGAAGGAACATATGAAGGGCAAGTCTGTACCATTAGCGGGCGTTTTCCTGTCGGGGTGACCGTACAACATACCTCTTGTGAGACTCCCTATTAATAAACGCCCGCCATTTCCTATCCAACACCTCTGGCGAGTCCGAAGCTTGAGGGAGAACTGCTGGTAAGTCTGCCCGCGTGTAGACAACAGCAGTATAAACCCCCGCACGTCGCATCATCTGTCCGTTCTCCAGTCAGCATCGATAACCGCGGTGGGAAGGAGTGACAACCTACAATCAACAGAGGCTGCAAAAACGCCTCTGCCAGCTCTGTTTTCCTCTTAAACCCGCTCCACATGCCAATAGCAAGGTGCAACGAAAAGGCCTGAAGACATTCCAGCTTGCGGGTATTTGTATTTTGCGATTCAAACTGTTGTCCCATCGTTAGTCAAGTCCCAAAGTGTACCAACTCCCTCCCCCGGGACAGAAGGAAACTCACCAAACTAGCCATCCTCGTCCTGATAATCTCCTGCATCGACAGTCCAAACTGCCAAATAGCCGGAACAGCAATAAAGCTCGCCCCATTCGCCACAATCGCACCCAGCAGCTCCGGCAACATCTCGGCCGGGTTCAGCGAAGGCGAGTGTATCCAGCTATCGCACTGGTACTCATCGTGCACCAGATGGGCCTGCAGCAGGAAATTGAGCAGCTCCACCGACGGGAACGACGGCACGCGGTGAGGGTCCTTTATTTGCGACAACACATCGCGAAGAGCCGGTCCCGAGTGGTTGAGTCGATCTTGATCTTGCTCGTCAGGCTTGATGGCCGGCTGGTGAATCGGGACTGAGCGACGGCTGCCACGGCGTCCTCGTCGAGATTTCGGAGCCCCTCTTCCGTCTCTTTGCGCACGTAGTCTTGTTTGTCGGAGGGCTCCCAGAGCCAGGGCGAGCGCTTGAAGGCGGCGTGGCGTCGGGCTGAGTCGCGGTGGTTGGCCTTCCTATGGGCTGTCGGCTTGGAGGACGTGGTTGCGGTGCCGGAGGTGGATTGCGGGCTCTGGCTGTAGGAATCGACTTGTGGCACGGAGAAGCCGTTCCAGTTAATGTTCCACGAGCTGAAGTCGATATCCTGGAACCAGGGGTTTGTGGGGTTGGAGTGCATTGGGTAGAGGAGATCCTCAGGGAGGCCGTCCATCATCGGGCCAGCAATCAGATGGAGGTGGTTGAGTGTGTCAGCCCCTTGATGATGTGGATGGGGATCCGCAGGTGGATAAGAGTGGTGCTGTTGCTGGCGCTGGTGAGGATGCTGTTGATGATGGCCATAGGAAGTCGATTGCTTAGCGGGGGGCATGCTGTAACCGCCGTTGAAGCCACCGTAAGAAGAGGACATGGTCCCGTCGACGGGAGTCATGGAAGCCGAGGCGACATTCGGAGTGCCATGTTCGGAGGGTGTGAGGACAGAACCAGCATCGGTGCCGTCTGCCGTCCGATATTGCGGTGTCTTCTTGTTGGAGGTCTCGCAGGGAAGGTTCTTGATCCGACAGCGGGTGCAAGGTTTCATGTCATCGCATTTCGCTTTGGACGTGGCGCAGTTGAGGCATGCTTCGGCGGCTCGGTCGCTCCGGCGGATTATGGTTCGTCCTTTACCGTCGTTGTCTCTGTCGTGGGTTGTCTCGTGGCGCGTAAGTAGATCTCTGTTGTGGGATATACGTTAGTAGGCTGAAATACCTGGACATCAGACTGAAGGTGACTGCGCCGGAAAGGTGGGTGAAAAGTGGAGCATTTGATCTGGTGTTCTATCCGATCCGGAGGTGGGACCGGACCGGACTGGACCGGAGCGGAGGCGGAGCAAGACAGGACAAGACAAGAGGAAAGGATACGTACGCGCGGTTGAAGCGCTTCGGACAGCGAGTGCACTGGTACTGGCGGGCATTCTCGTGGGAGCGTAGGTGACGGGTGAGGTGGTCGGCGCGCTCATAGACGCGTTTGCAGATCTGACAGACGTGGTTGGAGGTCGGGGTCGAGGCCGAGGGTGGAGCCGAAGCCGACTCGGTCTTTGGCCGTTTGGCTCGGGGCGGGCCCGGTGTTGTTTGCTGGTGACCGTGGAGGAGAGGAGTGTCAGGGAGGGCGGCGGCGGGAATAGTGGCGGTGGAGGTAGAGGTGGTGTTGTTGGTGGTGGTGTTGGTAGTGGTAGGGTTCACACCAGAGGCAGTGCCATTCCCAGCTGTAGTCGCATTCCCGGTGCCGGACGAGGATGAAGAGGTTTGCTGGAGATAGTCGAGCGAGGACAGCAGCAGATCGGAGCCGGCGGCGTCACACAATATGTCGATGCCGTTCTGCTCCGTCATGGTCATGGCTCAGGTTCAGGTTGCCTGGTGCTAATCTTCCGAAATCAAGGCCGAGGCGGGTTGCGCTGAGACCCGAACTGCGATGCTGCAAGAGACGCTTGTAGTCGACAGTCCCAACTGAAACATCCCTGGTCGTCCACGCTGTCAATGTGCGTCGCTGTCAATTGTGTGCCAATGGCTGCAAATGGCTGCCAATTGCCGTCACTGTGTTGCTGGTCCGGAAAGTGGAAGTTGTGGTGGAGGCCAAGAGAGCGAGCCGTTCCCAGAACCAGTGGGGCCGGTCCAGTGGAGGATACAACCCCCTGTCTTCCACTTGGCTCTTGCCCTGAGCCCAGTCCAGGTGGAGGGGCAGCCCTATTGCCCCAGCTCTGTGCCCTTTCCCAGCGGGGCCTTTCAGGGGCCTGGGCTGTCTGGCGCTCCTCCCCACTTTCCCCGGATCTGCCCGCCGAGGTGGCCATCAAGGTTCCATTCCCCACCTTCACCATCCCTTTGCGTGGACCCTTCATTTTTATCATCTCATCATTTTCAATCGACTTCGAGAATTCAAGCATCACATACTGAGAGTGACGGGGAGTTCGAAACCAGGACAGTGCTAAATTGCTCCTTTGAACCATATGCATTACACAAAGCCAAATGCCTTTTACTGTATTGGTCCTCAGAGAAAAGCCGACTCTTCCCCCGTTGCGAGTTGATCAAACAAGGTACCGGCACGATGTCTTATCTGGCTCCCATGATCTCCCCATTCGATGTTCACACGGGTAGTCAGCTTTGGTTTCCTTACCAAAGTCTTGAGGCTACTGAAGTACACATCCTCTAAGCGATCTCGTCCGATCTCAGGCTTACGGTAACAGCTCACAACTCTCTTTCAGCTACTTTCCCCGAATAGCTTCACTTTAGTTTTCACTCTAGTCTAGTGTACAGTAACACCCAATACGACTATACGAGAAAACCTCATCTGTTGTGTGCTCAAATCTAACCTCTTCTAGGAACCCTCTCTAACCTCTTTCGTTTTCTCTAATGGCTCTCTGTCGTCATACTTGTCTGCTTATCTCGGGCTGTCGGCTCGGCTCCAGTGGTGTAGTGTAGGATAGGTGGGTAGGTTTATCTCATGGCCTGGGATGGGTCACATCCAGCTGCGACGCCCTCAGCAATTCGTTACGGTCGATCCCGTTGCTGAGAATGAGAAAACAGGGAACGCCCCTGTATTGTAATTGCAGCGGCACCAAGGTCTGATTATAAAAGAGTAGTGGGTGAGAAGGTGCGTGATGTACCTATTAGGATATGGGACTGGGGCTGGGCCTGTGTTTTATTTACTTCCCCTTTTTTTCCATTCTCTTCTTCTTCTATCCTGGGCATTGGGATCGGTGAAACCCAAACTGTTGTTATCTTGCGAACTACTGTTGGTATGGTAGTCGTCGGTGATGTGAGGTCATGATGCTACCTACTTCAATGAATGCTATTTTGACAATATTCTGTAGTATCGTTCGTGGTTCTATCACGTCTTTCTCTCTAGGTTGCCCAGCCATCTACAAACCTACAGACCTTCAGTACGGCAGCAAGAACTATGAACCACCGTTGTGGGTTATTGTTGTGGTTCATGGGCTGATTTTCCATCTATCTAGGAAGCACTCGGATATGAAAGGATCTACACCGGTCGCTGTGCGGCTTCGGCCCTGTTTTTGGTGTTTGGTTGTTTTCTGTCGCTGTGTCTGTGATCTGTGCTTGTGGTTCGTGGTTGTGTGTCTGTAACTCTGTGTTGGTGTGCCGTCGTGTTGGTGGTTGTGGTTCAGTTTATGTTAGGCTTGGTTTGGTGTGCCGTGCCGTGCCGTGTCCCGTCGTGTTGGTGGGATTGGTGGTTGGTGAGCCGTTTCTCTCTCTCTATGTGTGTGTGTTCAGTAATATTCTTCAAGTTTCCCTTTGGAAGAACCTATGAACTGCCCTGCTGAATTGGGTTTTGTTGCCCAACTTGTCATAAGCTTGTAACCTCGCTTGGCGTCGATGGCGTTGTCTGTTGTTGTTGTTGCCTGCCTAGATTTTAATTTAGATATATCGATGTGTGTACTTTGGTAGGGCAGCGTATTGTATTTGCTGGATCTGTTGGTATATCGCAAGAAGCCAGTGTCTCGCCTCATCCTTACTGATGGGTTATGTTGTGTTCATTGCACATGTGCTATTGTGTCACGAACAGCCTCCTCCTTTTCCATGCCTACTTCCTTTCTCGACCGTCAGAAGATGAACCCAAATGTTTGCACATTCGGAATGTTGTACCTGTCATCCTGACGGTCCATTCGGTGTAAGCTGATATGAACTGGAGGAGAAGCAGGTAGGTAGTGTCACCTCGGAGTTGTGGACAGAAGAGCTGACGTGCGCCACTCGCTTCATGATAATGCCATGGCTATCGGTTCCGTCGGTTCTATGGTTCGTTACACCATGTTCTTCATCGGAACTCTCGAGATTCAGGAATACTGTCTCAGGCGTTGACTTTAGTCCTCACTTTTGAATTCTCACCGGCCCAGGCCCAATAGGAGCCCTTCCGGGGCTCATGTAGTGCTTGAGCGAGTATTATGGTTTCTCCATATCTGTGCAACCTTTTGTGCGCGTGAGCGACATGTAGTGTTTATTAGATCCTATTCCCATTCTAGTTCCCAACTTGTCCTTTCCGAAATTCCATCGCCCCTTTTATGTAAGCCCCTTCCCTTGAGGTCTATCAGTCTGTTCCGGATTTAACCTGATCGCCCCCCTTTTAGCCATGCCCGTAACACCGTGACCCCTAGGATGGAAAATGAAAATCAAGCAACCCGAAAAGGCAAGGGTATCAAGAGGTCTCCCCAAGTCTAGCATGCTTCCCAACTCCAAACCGTTGTCGTCCCTTTTGATCCATTCCGATCACCATGGCGTGAGGAAAAGAAAATCCCAGTATTAAGTCCTCCGCGGTAGTTCTGTTGAAACGGTCGAGCTCGGCTTTCGGCTTAGAGGCACTCATGCCTGCAGACAGGGCAAGCACGGCCTCGGATCACCCATGTCTCAACTCCCTTCTTTTGACACTCTGGGCAACGAACGCCGGGGAGCTGTGAAAGTATGACCGTTAGTCACTGTATCTTCCACATGGTAGTGTTGCACTGCATATCATCCGCACCAACCGGCAACCGGACCGCCACCCTCTTGTATATAAGATACAAGCTACGGAAACGTGGGGTGGTGGCCCAGATGGGTAAGGGTATCCGTGAACTGTCTCAGTACTCACATTGGCAAAGTCTACCAAGGCTCCCTGTCCCTGACGGTTGACCAATTCCTGCTGCTCGGGCTTGTTCATGTTGTAGTGGCAAGCGTGGGCGGGGGCTGAGCGGCACATGTTTGTAGTATGTGTAGGTTTTGAAGTGAGGTTGCAAATTTGTGAGATTGTGAGGTCGCAAGATGTGAAGTGATAAAGTGTTGAGATATTTAAAGAAGGTCGTGAGAGCGTAGAAGCTTAAGTGTGCTTGTAGATTGCTCGAGAGGTTGATGTCTGATGATGATGCTGAGGAGATGGACAAGAACAAGAAGAGGGCAGGTCTATATATGCATTCCTGGCCGATGTAGCATGAAGCCGGACTCTTTCTCCTCCTCGAACCGGTGACAAGGCGGGATTGCGTTGGCGACGGGAAGGGAAGAATAAAGGAAGCTAGGATGAACCGTGATCTTTCTCGAATTCTTTGGACGGGAGGCGGCGGGCGGTAAGGGAACGGAGATGATGAACCAAGGCCATAGACAACTAGTGAGGCTCGTCATGGACACGAGGGACGATAGGAAGCCGTCGTCTGATGGACGGCGTCTTTCCGACGGCGAGACAGAGGCTCGACGGTTTTATGCATAGGCACTGGCGTACAAAAGACAGCACACAGGTGCAAAGTCGAACGGCCGGACCGGGATCCCTCTCCGGGAAACGGCAACGACATGCCTCCGACAAACGATGTCCATGGGGGCCGGTACTGGCCACCGCCTGGAAGTGGTAACAAGATGCAGTGGGAGAGACAGACCCGCCGGGGCGAAGAGCAACTCGTTTGGTTGTTGGTGAGATCACAACTTTGTGTAGATGCCGGCCTGCCATTGGGCAACAATAAGCAGCTGAGGTCGGACAAGGTTCTCCGAGGTCTCCATTCTCCATATCGCGTATGGCTTGTTCCATCGTTCAAACACTCGAGTGAAGCAGCTTCGCAAACCCATGAACCATGGGCATGGCAAGGACCGGGTGTGAATTGGTTCCTGGGCAGCTTTCAACGGTAACAGCAACTGACTGCGCACATAATAAGTAGCTTGTCCAGCTTGGTAGCGTGCCATCTATGTTGTGTAGCGCACTGCAAGGCGAGGCTAGTCTGGTTTAACTCTGAGACAAGTGCCGTTTGCGCAGGGCTCGCCGTCTTCCGGGGACTCGCAGGAAATGGGAAAGTCCAGGGCATGTTTCTCCATAACAATTGAAGCCTGATCATGCAGCTTGTGGCTTGCTGCAGCCGTCCTTTAACTTGTAGCTTGTACACTGGATAGTATAGTGCTACTACGGACATGGCGTGTAGCCTCCATGTAGTAGACTAAACTACCCAGAGATAGCGCATCGTTCGACTGGTGGGAGACGGTGGTACTGTAGCATCAAACCCACTCTCGGTCCGTGATCTAACTCGAGTAAAGGTAAGCAGTGTTGTACTGTGCTCATAGTATGGCTTGGAGTTCCACTCATCCCTTTTGTTTTTTTTTCTTTTGAGTCGATGTTTGGGAATTTGCTTGGCCTGGAAGAGATTGGTTTGCAACAACGGGACCGCGGGTCAAGGGATGTGAATTGTGACGAGTCAGTAAAATCAGTTGGGACGGTAATAATGGGTCATTCCTGGAGCGCAAAAGCTCAAAGTTTGACCAAGTAGAATAATCTGAGAAAAAAGATGGAGAAGAGAGAAATGGAACGGAGATCAAACCGCCAGACTCCATATTCCAGGAGCCGATGATCACCCGTAGCGCCCAACGTGCCTGCCACTTTGCACAACTGCCACCTGCCATAACTGACTGCAGTTCTTGAAAGGTGAAAAGGTCGTCATTTGCTTGGCAGAAAAGAGCCCCACAACTACGGTCACAACCACCAAGAAAAGAGAAGTCGTGATGGGACAGTGACCATATCGCTCCTTCCCTTCTTCCATCTCCTACGCCAACAACCGAAAATGACGGCAAGAATCTGAAATTACACAAGAAAATTCTGCCCGAATTGGGTGCTACGTGTCCGGCGACCGCCATCTTCTCTCATCTATTGTGGCCCGTCTTTTCCCGCCTACTTTTCTCCCAAGAAAGACCAAAGTACCAACCAACATCAGCACAGGTAGATGACCGAACCTCCAACGACAACATTGCCCACATTCCCAACATGCCGACCGTCGTTGTTCGTTGCCCGGGAGTCAATACGACATGATGGCTCATAGGGGCTGCCCGACCTCCCCCTTCTTCCGTTTACACTGTCGCAATGGTCCCCGATGCCCCCATTATCCCGCAATCCCACAATGACACCACGCAACGAGCGTCTGGGTTCAATTCCCGAGTAGGTGGTTGACGTCCAACGCCATGCTCGATGGTGATTCGCCCGTCGCCACGAACCTCTGCACATCACACATCAAAGATTAAACCAGCCAGCCAACAGGACAAGTTCTTTTGCCGGATCCCCAAGGTGAATACTGACCAACGGGATGCAGACCAAGTCCGTCTTGGCCATGTCCTCCTCACTTCAGCCGTTGCAGCATCAATAACCCAAGCGAAACAGAAAATCACCAGACAAAGACCTTTGGTGCCACAACCCACTCGGTTCAAGCTAGACATATACCGAACCCATAGTCGATTATCCCTAGACCAAGTCGACCTCGGCCGGCCCACCATCTCCAGTCTGGGGAGCCTCATGCTAGTCAAGCATACGTCGTCATCGAGTCGTTCTTTTACACATCAGCTCGACCCCGCACATCTACCATCATCTGGCCCCTTGATCTGCTCCTCAACCTGGTTCCTGGTTTTCGGTGTCGCGTCGACTCAACTACCGACTCACATAAGGGGCCCACGAGTCCACTGATACATATCATATCCATGGACATCACAGCTGGCCTCTTCTCCACACTCGGGCCTGCGATTACCATATGCTATCTGGATATCATTCCTTGGTTCGAATCCTTCGTTGGCGTTTGTCAAATCATTATTGGGGTTTGTTATGCCAGCTGTCACTGTTTATACCCTCGCGCCTCGAGTATCCTGCAACCGCGTACCTACAGCCCATCAGACTTCAGAGGCACCCCACAAACGCATCGGTTGATATCATTCTGGCCATCGGCCGTCCCAAACCCGACAAGGAGTCTTCGCTTGGCATGATACTTAGAAGACTCCCGGTGGACCGAACACCAGCCAGAACAACAACACTCATCAGCACCTTATCAGCTTTAACATCGGTTACACTAGCGTCTTTACAACCGCGTCGGCGTCGTCCCAGTATCGACGGTCATCGAGGATTGCCATTTTGAGGTCACCGGCATCCACTGATGGCCTGACAGGTCAGCGACGAGTTCGGGTGGTCGGAGTACAACTGAAGCTGCACCGCATTGGGCAAGCACTGGCGAAAGGGGAAGGTCATCACTCGGAAGCTTCGTCCGGGGTTCATCGTGATGACGACGGGGCCTTTCCAGGTCATTTCTGTGGTCGACTATATGGCGTGGCCGCAAGTGTGGACCAATGCTAGACTTCTCTTTCTAGGGACTCCCGGCAACGACGAGCGTGCGATGTCGCTGACTAGCAGGACTTATACACATACATGATATGATGCTGCTTACTTCTCAAGATTTTCAATTCTCACTTTCACCCTAAAAGCTTTACGAAAGAGCTCAAAATTGGTTTCGATTCAGCCCCGGGATCTTGCGTTTGCTACACAGATTGAATCGCTCCTCCGTTACAACGTTCAGAACGCTTCCAATCTGCGCCCACCTCGCCCCGACATGTTTGCACAAAACCATCGCACACTGTGTACATGCAGGAACAGCGGCAGGTAGGCTTGTTGACTGTGTCAGACAAATGATCTGATAATGGAGCCCCATCTTCAAGACCCCTGTTCGTCTTTGAGAGTCTCGAGATCTCTACATGAGCAGGAGCAGATGACCCAGACTGTGAATGAATATCTGCTTACAAGCAGGTGAAAGTTCTGGAATATGGACCCCTGAGTCAGACTAAACCTCCCCGAACCCTTGGTACTTCAGGGAGCAGCCGTACGTATCCTTTTGGAGGGGATCTTTGTCATCGTTGACAACCGACTCTGAGGGGAAACCTTCGAGGAAAGGAGAAAATTCCCCCAGCCTCTGTGTCGCACGGAAACGTCTGCCAACGGAAAATTTCGCGGCCTGCGGTTGTGGTTGCGGAACGATGCATTGTTTCTGTTATCCTTCCTTCCCCTTCCCTTCCGTGATCCGTCCTGGAACCAGACTGTCGGGAACGAATTAGCTCGCTACCCTTCGCCGTCTTTTCCATGATTCCAGGGACTTTCCACTTTTTTTCCCTCCCCTTAACGTGGCAGGTAAGTCCGCAAACCGGCTTGTCCGTTCTTCCCGTCTTGGCTCGGCGGCGGCACTCCGTTTTCCGTTTCCCCCCGTCACCTAACCTCGCTCGCTCCATGTCACTCCGATATTGGCCAAACGTTGGGTGCCGTCTCCGATATGAAGGCCGGAAGGAAAAGGGATATGACGGGCGGGTCGCGAAGCTTTTTTGACAGGCAACACAAGCAGCGGAGAATTTTTTTGACAGCTGGTCGGGAGAAGGGTTGTTCTGTTGTACTTTCCGGCATAATCGGAAAGTCATCAGTCAAAAACATGACCTGATGATAATGTTCCTTCCCAACGTTGGTGTTGACAATGATTGATACCAGATGGAATTCGGCTAAGATCGCGGCGCACGATGAGCAAAGACACCTACTTTCTAGGCGTTGAGTGGCCTTCATCGTATTGACCGAAAGTAGAATGGCATAAGCATGTCGGAATAACAAAATGGAAAGGAAACAATCTATGGCCAGAAGTCGGTCAAGTAAGCCTTGACACGATGCCTACTGGACCTAAACTAAGGGTGAAGTTGCAAAAAAATAACAGAGAATGAAAGAACCCAAATGACCAACTGGGCAACTTCACAAGCCATTCATCAGTTGTAGAATCACAATCGTAACCAACATTTCCGGCATTATAGCATGGTTCTTACACATGGAAAAAAAAAACCCCCCAAAAAAATAAGGATTCAGATACCCATTATAATCATGGCTATGCACATAAACACATATATATATGTATGATCCAACGGAAAATCGATAAAAAGAGAAAAGATTGAAAGGAATGGATCGGTGAAAAAGAAAAAAATAAGACTACCTTAAGGAAATGGAAGGAGCCAGCAGGGACAAAAAGGGGAATTGGAAAATAAATTGCAAAAGAAATGCGCCAGCCGCGAATCGAACGCGGGGCCCATCGATGGCAACGATGGATTTTACCACTAAACCACTGGCGCTTGTAATTGTTGTTGAAGGTTTGGCGCAAAAAGTTTTGCTTATGTGGTGGGGGATGGAAAGTCAGGGATGACCTAGCCGTTGTGGTGGATCACGGTTGCTTCGGAGGCACCGCCTTCCCAACACAGATACTCGTCAGGTCTTCAAAAACGACCGTCTGACTAGTGGTTTTCCCACTAGTCAGGGACATTAATTTGTACCACGGAAGCGACTTTCGCCAGTTAGCAGAAGCCCTTGGCACGAAAGTCTCCCACAATAAGCCGGTTACCGGGCTTACCTGCATAATAACATGGTGTAAGTGCATGTGACCCCGCACAGCAGGATATCCCATACATGCACACCATATACCGTCTCAACACAAGAATCCGGTAGGAATGAAAGTCCAGGTACGAATTAATGTCCCTGACTAGTGGCTCGCCCACTAGTCAGACCGTCGTTTTTGAAGACCTGACGAGTATCGTCTTTACTTGCAAGTTACCCCTTTGCATAGAAGTTGGGTTTCTACCTATATATTAACATGTACAGGGGCAAGATATCCTAGTGTATTTGAAGGCGAGTAGTATACAAGTGCGAATTTCAGTCACGACTAACATTTTCAGGGACAGGAGGCGAGCACATCCATTTTCACAATGGTTGAAGCAATGAATGTAAGCAATAATAGTCAATTGCTAACTGAGCTTATCCCTAGTCGCTTCAGTCTTTCCAAAGTCGAGGAACTCGCTAGCTATACCAAGGGTATCCTTTCAAAACATATCTCATCCAACGAGAATTTCCTTCCCAAGTGAGTGACAGATCGCTCTGTACCTGACTGGCATCCAAAGTTTCCACCCAAAAGCAATCAACATTGAATGCAATACCCATTGAATCCCATCTCAAACAGTCTCTGCTTTGCTTTGCGCATCTCTTCTTCTTCTCCTTCTTCTACCATGCATTCAAAAAGAGACCTGCCACCATAAATGCCATGCTGAAGTATGTTCCACGCCAATGCGGGAGCCAGGAAAATGCCGTATTAAGACAAGGATATCAAGAAAACGGAAACAGAAGTTGAATAAATGAAGACCGGCTGCCGTCGTCATGTGGTCAGAAGTCGCTGTGACCCGACGGCAATCTCGGCATGTGTCTGGTTTGTCGGCAAGCTTTCACCGAATATTCTTCTCAACCTTGATAAAAAGCTGAGATGAAGAATGTCCACCGTGTCGGCGGAGTGGTCGACGGGTGAGGGGATGATAAAGATCGAGGCATCTATATCCTTGCTGCAAGCGGTCAAGACGGATGCAAGCCCAAGCGAGAAGCTCGTTGCCGAAGCCGCTTGAGGAGGGCTCTTCAACTTTGAATCTGTGGGAGACGCCATTAGGTTAGAGCCACGTTTGTGAGCCAAAGGCGAATGAAAATGAAGATGATGAGTGGATGAGAAAGGAGGAAAGGTGAGGCTCGTGTCAGATAAAGTTTGGAAAGGGAGCAAAAAAAGAGGCATGAATTCAGTGGACGAAACCGGCCGACCGGAAGGAAGCCGATGTCGGTATGCGAGACTCCCGTGTAGCACAAACACACTCTCATCCGGGGAAAGGGGGGCAGGCGCAGTTGCGGAGGACACTATGTATCTCTCGCTCTCGGATAAAGATCTCTTCCGTTCCCTCATGCCCGGCCCTCTGCTCGAGAGTTTGCTACTTAGACAACTTTGTCTGGGGCATCCTACCTGTCATTGTCTCCATGATATGGACAACCACAGGACGTAAACTGCGATGGAGAAAGAAAAAGAGTCTTCACAGTGGTTTGCCTGCGGTGACGGCTTCGTGCATCAAATTCATAACGTCGAAACGAGACAACAACCACTCACTCCTGGATAACAGGTAGGGGGTAAGAAAATATTTAACCAGTAGTTCTGGTCGGATGGCGCATCATCGAGGGAAGGTGTGCAGTGATATAATAACGAGGAGAAGAAACATCCGGAGTAGCGAGGACATAAAACTTACCTCACGAAGCTGAGCTCTTCCACAATCCCACCCACATTCAGGAAGTTAAGCGGGTATGGACTACGCTCCCAGTCTGGATTCTCGGTCGCTTGTGGCTGAGTGGTTCGCGTCAAGTCAAGCGCTTTGTTTGGCTTTTCGACGTGCAATTCCACCTTCACTCGGGTGCGCAGCTTCTTAGCTTGCCCACCCTCAGGTACGGGAATCGACTGCCCTGCTAGAACAGTGATTCGTAGGTCGACCGTCCTTGTCGGTATATCGTCGTGATTTGTTAGGAAACCGGTGGGCTTAAGAATCCAGCCATTCGTGTCCGCAAACATGGCATCGTTGAGCATCGTGCCTTCGTCGGTCTTCTGCCAGTTCATAGCCACCATCTGCACACCTCTTCGCCACGGAATAGTAGGGTCGGGGTTACTGCTGTCGAACCGAAGGCCCTTGGGGTAGATTCGCATAAAGTATTGCTTGTTGTGATCCATGATCTTCTTCAGCTTGGCCTTATCCTGGGATATCATATCCAGAAACTTGTCCTCGTTCACACTGAAAATATGGCTGGGGGTTGTTGAGGATAGGGATTTGAGATCGGAAAAATGCTCACTGCGCGTGTAGATAGCCAGAGCGGCAAGCATTTCGCAGATTGGTGGTTTGGAGCGCAGAGAGCTGACAGTCAGAGATCGCCCACGCTGAGCTTCCTGTATCTCACCATTGGAATCATCCAACCGCTTCACCTTGATCAGAATCTTGTCGAGCAATTGTTCCAGTCGAGGTTGTTGCTTTAGATGATCGCAGTCTTCGAAAGGCTCTTCGAGAAGCAATCCGGCCCATTCCTCCTTCATGATCTCCACCATCATCTCTTGTTGCTCACGATCCGCGCCAACCTCCAGACTGACGATGATCGGTAAATGGTTGGTTACGAACGCCTCTTCTCGAACAGCCTTGCAAACCTCCCGAAAAGGCACCGTGGTAGTCATAGTTCCATGGTGGTGCACGATGGGCTCAACCCTCTTGATGGAGCCGGATGATGATGTGGATTGATCCAAACGATCGCTCAGTTCTTTCGGATCCAGACTCGTGCCACTGTCTCGGGGAGTTCGCATTGTGTAAAGACCTGGATGATCGACGCTCAGGCTTGAGCCATGTCGAACGCTCGATCGTGACATGGCGGAAACATTTGATATATGTCGGCGATGTTCCCCGTGCGGAGACTTGGATGGCGTTCGTGACGGGGCACCGTTCCACACGTCAATTTCAATACATCTGCAACCGTTCCGTAATACCTGTGAGTCCTGTTAGACGATGTTACTAGGGACGAGGAGCGGTTCATACGTACGGCTTTGTATGCCTCTGCGGAGCTCTTGGACGACAGTTGATTTCCTTCCAAGTATGTGTTGTGGCTGCTGTTGATGAAATAATTGCTAATCGGATACGTGAGGTCGGTTTCGTTGGGATCCAAGGGTTGTACTGCATTCCATGCTGCCTTGTTGTTGCTCCAAGCCCAGAAGAATTCCTCGAAGGTATACACGTCCTTATCTGGAAGATCCGTGGTCGTAACACCTTGGGTTCTCTTGAAAAAGCGAAGGAATTTCTCATGTGTGAGTACCTTGTCGCCTCCGCAAGCTTCTTTCCACACCCTCACGGCGTGTTTCTTAAACGCATCGTGGATGTACATGGGTTTGTGGGTAGCGTTGAAGACCTGTGCCGACGATACCAGAGAAGCCATGAACAAGGCGGACGTCGGCTGGCTGGGAGAAGCAATTTTCATGGTCGTCATCCTCCGCATAAACGACGGCTTCTCCTTCTTCTTCGTCTTGGCCCTGCGGCGAAACTAGAGTGAGTTAGTTAAGCGTTAATGCCACGGCGCCTGTTCAATGGAGACTTGCCGATATGCACGACATTGTTACGAAATGAGTCGTAGATCCTTAGATTGCCCAATTGCTCTCTTGTTTTCCTCCTATGTCCTCCTTATGTCTCTCCCTCGGCGATGGGAAAGTCTCAGGGGCCCCGGTTCGATGGGTTTGGGTCTGAGTCCTCTTTTGAGGATGCGGTCTGGCCGCCAGGCCCAGTGGGTGGTTGGGGAGTTTAGTGGACGCGTCGATGCTGTTAGGGTGCTGGGTCCACCACGGCTGGTACCGATCGCGGACTGGGGACGTGAAGTTATTTCGGGATGCCGTGCTGGTAACGATGGCCTGATATCGGAAAACGAAGAAGGAGTAGAAACTCCAGAACCAAGAGAAGCGGAAATGGAGGGCAGATGTCAGCAGTTAAGAAACAAAAGGGATGCTCAGCTTACTGCGTAACAGAGCCTTGCCCCGCGCGCAGTGGTCGAGACCCAATGGAATTCCCAGCGGTGCCAGCGTCCTTGCCGACCGTGGCTCTCGTCGGTTGGTGGCCCAGCGTGGTGGGTTCGGCTCTGGGCCCAAAAACATCCAGTGAGATTCCCGGTGAGCCTGCAATGCCTGCAGCTGCTTGGGTGAGACAGGGAGGGAACCCCAGTTACACTGCCCATGATTCCCAAGTTAAGCTTCTCCGAGTCTTGACGCTAGGCCATCTGGAGGTGCAGAGCAGATAGGGTGTCATCCAAGCCGGGGTTGTGAGGCTGGAGTGCCGTTGACGTTGTCCGCCATGTTCGAGTTTCGAGTCTTTGTTTGCTTGGGCAAATCCGTCATTCCATTGCTTTGCTGTGATTCTCCAGATGGAGAAGTCAATCGACTTTGCCTAGGACAGCAAAGCGTTGGCTGATTTTGTGGTTGGGCATCGTGGTGTTCAGCTCGAGTGGTGAGGTGAGGATGGCGATGATGCCCAGCTGGAAAATTTTGGAGTTTACCAGGTGCTCGTTCCTGCTGGCTTCTGCTGGCAGTGCTCATCTGGTGCCTGCTGGTCGTCGACACTCGGGCAACCACGTTTTTGGCGGGAGGAAGGCGCGATGCGCAGAAGCGGCTATCATTGCCAACCATTCCCTTGCACAACTGCATCTTCCCCACAGTCCGCCCTTGCCCCCTTCCCGTCTCTTGACAGTCTCATCTTGCAATGTTTTCGCTTTGACGGCAGGAGCAGTGCCCGAATGCGTCACTTGACTGTCTCATTGGTACCTGATCTCCTGATACAATGCAGTACACCGAGCTGAACGAAATCAAAGCCAACTCAAAGCACCATCCATCTCAAACTCCAACACCAATCGACAACTCTGATTCACAGGCCAAGGATCAATGTTGAAAAGAAGAATGAAGCATCAAAGGCGCGCCCCTGTCTGCCGCTCCGGCCGCTGTGGGGAGTTTCGGGAGCCCGAGAGCACCGCCTCACAATCTCACTCCCCTAAACCCAGCAACCCACAGACAACCCTGTGATCCCCACTGAGAACTCCAAACAATCCCCAATAAAGAACCTTGACCAACCACGACGCTGACCTGCCCCAAGAGGTTTAAGTCGATTGCCTTGCAATAGAAACAGATCACTGCCAGTGGTCGAAATCCGCTCAATGTCGGCGATCACTACCGTTACAGATTGGCGACGACAACACGAGAGGTTCCGGCCCTTTTTGTCGCGCTGACTGGGGTTCATGGTAGCAGCAGGTTGCGATAGCGATTCGCCCTGAGTGATCACTCTCATCACAGACCCCAGGGATTATGAGAATGCAGTGCCTACAGCGGCTCGCCTACTCCGAGTTGGTGGACAAATTGTCCACAATGAACCCTTGGCGATACAACTCGCGACGATATGAAGACCAAACAATATGCCGGGTCTCTCACCTTGTGTTGTCATTCGAAGATATTAATAATGGTGTCACAGATCCGTCCCCGGAGACTGTCCCCGGGACAGAGTTCAATGTTGACCCCGGACCGGTGACATATATCCCTTCTTGGTCCTTTCTCCAAAGAGCTCCAAGACCAGCACTATGCTGGAGTCGAACCAAAACGGCATGGTATCGATTTATTGATCGAGACATCTCAAGAAGTTTGTTTCAATGCTTCTTTTCAATTTGCTCGTCTCAAACTGCCCACTGAGGTTCAATGGAGGTTGGGTGACGTGGGACAGTTGTTCGCTGCCGTCCTTCACAGGCTGCATTGCACAGCCCCCCTGCGTCCTTCGACATTGATGAGGCACAGCAACATCAGCTACACGATAAAGCGTTGGACTTGATTGAGTTCGACTATGGCTCGCATTATCTGAGGAAAAGGAGGTCAAGTCCACGAGACTGTTGGAGATATCACAACGTCATAGGTAACTCATCTGTCAGGCACAGCCCTCTCCATCTGGGGATGACGGCAGAAGATTGCTCCGCAAAAGTCAATTGCTTCTTGTGGTTAGATGTATTGACCTGTCTTGCCACGCCAAATTTGAGCAAAAGTCGTGATCAACAGGATATCGACCTGGTGGGATGGAGTTCGAGTCCTACCTGTATCATCAAGTCCTGTGCTTCACTTACCTAACCTCAATCCCCCGAGCCCCTTCTATCGTTGACGCTCAGCCACGCCATAAAGGACCGCCACTGAATGATGAACGCCTGTGCCCCATCCTGTTCGACGTGTCAGATATTTAGCAAGAATTCGAAACTAGACCTCAACCAATATCAAGATGACGAGCCAATGCTATGAAGTTGAGGCTTCGAGTTGGGGAATGGTTTCTCGTCGTCGTCGGTGCTCCCGTCTCGAAGCCCCATATCGCAGTGCCGGTCCGCATGAAGGATGGCCGACAGCTGCCACAAGCACAGACCATGCAAACAGCCGCCAACCATACTGGCTCCACACAAAATAACCACAGCTTACGTAATCCATTGCGAAGATTTAACGACAACACAAAACTTTTCCTGCAGAAAGTTTCGACTCGTGAATTTCTCTTCCAACCAGCCAGCCCGACAACCGACATCAACGACGACAAACGTACGATCAGCAACAACCTCCAGTCTTGATCGAAAGTTCAGATTGGTGGCCAATGCTGCTTCGCGCGGAGCAAGCCTGAGCTTTTGCGATGGAATTTCCTGGGGAAGCGTCGCAATTGACGCCGACATGAAAGTTATTGTTTCTCGGTCGTCTTTGTCCTCTCCCGGATCGGCATCTTCGCAACAGCAACGGCAAGCTCAGTCGCTCGCTCGCCCATCGGAACGGATACACAAGGCAATGATTGTGGCAAGTGGGTGGTGATAGCTCTATTTGCCCTTCATTGCATCGCTTCAGCAAATATCACAAGGTACGTTTTCATTCACTCCTGTCATCCAGCACATGCACAAACACACCACCCATATATCCTGTGATGAGAGTAATTTGCGATTGATGCTGTTACGGTGGGACCCTTTCGCCGGGTGTCCTATACCTTTCAGTATGTGATAGTATATTCTTACATATTCTGAGTTTATATCCCTTTCACACATTTGTCATGTTATCGAGAAGTTAAAGTTGGTGATCACTTTGCTAACTTTCGAAAAGTGTTCTAGATGTCTTGTCTCGAACGCTTGTGGTGGGTGGTGTTGTTTGGTTGGCTGGGATATCTGGTGGCCGGACGCGGGCTGTCTAGGATAGAGAATACATGATCTTGCAAATACTTGTCGTTCCAATCTTTTAAGAAATTGCTGTGATTGTGATCGTGATGAATGACTTTGAAGCTCTGCGTTGGAGCTTTGCGGATGTCAACGCCAATGGTGATGATCACATGAAGTCTCGTTCTGGAGAGCAGACTACATGGAAATCTCTTGACAGATATTCAAGTCCGAAACAGGCATCTTGACGAAAATCTCGACCGTCATGTCCTTCGTCAAACGACTGAACCTCAAGGAAACTTGCTCCTCCAGAAGTGTCCGGCATACATGAGGTCAACATCGTGGTGTTCTGGGCATCCTTACCTTCACGAGAAGCTGGTCTGGAGATGTTCACGGTCAGGCCGTCAAGGCTATTTGTCATATGCAGATATAAACTCACGTGCGGCACACTCTTTCAATAAACATCGGACCATATCAGTTCAATCGGGTATGGTGTAGCGGTAACATCGTTGACTCTCACTTCTCAGGAGTGACTGCTCTCTCAACAGCCCCGGGTTCGACTCCCGGTATCCGAGTCTCAATATCTTTTTTGCTGATTTTCCTTTTTTTGCATTTTCAACACCCTCCTCCCCTTCTATAGGTACTTTCATCTTCCCACTTCCCCTTTTTACCTTGACCCCATTCTTCTTTTTTGCTTCTTTCCCAACCTCTTATGCTCCTCCTTTGGCCTCTTGCTTCGGCAATGCACCTCACACCTTGTTTCTTCTGTGACAGGCAAGTTGAGTTGTACAAGGGGGTTCATAGCAAATTGCTTCACAACTTTCTTTACTTGACCACAAACACCTTTGGCTTCATTCCACCATGGAAGCTCACATTTGAAAGCGCCATACCCAAAGGCCCACACATATAACTTCATCACCTAAGTTCTATTTGCCTTCTCACCTCCCTCCCCTACCAACACACAAATCCGTCCTAATAATCCACTTCTCCCCTGCCGTTACCTCCCTGCCCTCATGCAACATACAATCATTCCCATGCTTATGCAGTAACAGCATACCCGTCTCCGGAGCCACAGCAATTGCTTCCTTCGCCACCTGTCGGTCGTGGGGGTAGAAGACGGTCTCGCCGCCCGTGCACCCTTCGCTGGCGGAGGTGAGATAGAGCAGCAGAGTCCAGGTTGTTTTGGCAGGGACTTGTTGTTGTTTTTGGTTGGGATTTGGGTTCTCGTCGGAGGAGGGGGGGAGGGTGAGGGTGATTTTGTTTGAGTCGTCGTCTGGTTGGGGGTGTTAGTAGGGGGAGGGGAAGGGGGACGGAGGAAAACTGGGGGAAACAGAGGGGAAACATACAATGCGCATCAAAGAACTGCCCTTTTGTGTATCGGTATATCCTGATATTTGGGTTTAGGCCGATGACTTCTCCGCCCCTGTTCACTTCCAGTCAGTAAACCTCTCTCACCCAACTTTTCTCATGTCGGAAATAGAAAACTCACCACAAATGCTCCAACCCACCCCCCCAAAACCGCCTCCTTCAACCCCGTTTCATACCAAAGCCTATCCGCAAACTTCTGATCGTCAATCTGGAACCGATCATTCACTCGCACCGCCATCCCCCGCTTCGGTTTCCCAGGCGTGGTTATCAGCGGGAGCGTGCTCAGGAAGGAGACGTAGTCGCGGCATAAGGATTTGGGGAAGAAGTTCCGGAGAACGACGACCTTGTCATCCACGAGACTGTCGAAGGTGAGGTCGGTGATGGGCAGGGAGGGCTTGAACGGGGGCCAGGAGGGCGGGGCGGCGCTGCTGGTGGGTGGTGCTGTTGACGGTGCGGAAGTTTGGGATGGTTTGCTGCCGTTGGTTGCGGTTGTTGATTTCTTTGGTTTGGGCATTTTGGGGGTGGGATTTGAGATCCGATGGGTAGTTTTCTGAGAAAGGAAGTTGAGTTGTTGGTGAGATTGGTTCTATCGCTTTTCGGGGCGTGGTCCTTTATGAGGAGTTAATACATGAGAAAAAAGTCAGAGAATCCGATTTTTTCTGGGTTCAACGCCAGGTAGGATCGTCTAGAGGCCAACTCAATTTCAGCTGCTTGGTCGTGATGCTGGTGCATTGGTGTTGTTGATGGGTGAGACAGGCCCAGACTTCCCCACAATTTAGCACCGTCGTTCAGGTGCCCCACCATGCCTCATTGAGGGGCGGGGCCGCGGGATCAGCCCAAGCTGAACCTCCACGAGCTGAAGTTGAGATGGATATATCAGCCTGCGCACAAGCCATGATTCCACGGTCAATTCGTATCTACAGACTCTGAGGAGATAATCCAAGCTTCGATTCCGTTTCCCCATCTCACCTCCGAAGTCTGTACCGGAAATACTGCACGATAAAGGAAGAACACTCCGTAGGGTTAGGGTCTGATCCTCTCTCGGGCGGAGATAAACCACCACCTGGTCCAAGCTCCGGTGCATGCAAATCTGGGGCAGGCAGGCAAGGGCAGCACGGCAACGGAAACAACTTCCATCAAAAGCGTTGCAGACTGCAGGAACGACCGGGAACAGTGGACAGGCTTTTCATTCTAGGTACATCCCGTGCCAGCTTCAGTCACTTCCACGCAATCACTTCATCAGCCATCATCCACCCGATACCTCTATTCCACTTTCGCTCCGAGAAATATCAGTGTCAAATCCGCGTTCGCTGCTTCCGCATCCCAACGCCTTCCGTTTTCCATCCATCTCACTCTTCATTCAAGTTCACCACCGAGACAGCTCTTGGCAGACACACTCATTTTCAAGATGCCGATTCTCTCCAGCATCATCAGCAAACTGGTCTGGGCCGACGGTCAGCCTCCGAAAGCCCCACAACAACAATCGACCACAACCCCGGCCGGCCCCGCCGCACCGGTAGCAGCAGGAACAACAACAACACAAACACCCATTCCAGCTCCTGCCAATGCCTCGTCACTTGCACCCACATCAGATGCGGCGCGCTACCCACCCGCACAGCAATGGGAGGAACGTCCTTACCCGCCCCTCTTCTCGGAGCGCTCCATGAAGCAGCTTGGCCTCTTCTTCGGCGGCGCCACCTTCTTCGCCCTCTCCGTTGCCGTCTCCCGGCGCGCCGTGGCCCGCCACCTCAAGGCCTCCAAGATGGAGATCTTTGCGCCTAACACCATGGCCTCGGGCATAGCGCGACCCGGTGCTGGCAACATCAACGCCAAGGCCGACAAGGATCCCATGATGGCCGCCGAGGCCCTCACTCTGGCCACGCTCAACGTCGTCAGCTTCGCCACCATGGCCGCCGGAGGCACCAGCTGGGCCCTTGACATCTTGTCGGTGGAGGACCTGAGGAGGAAGGCGCGCAGGACGCTGTATGGCGGCAACGAAGCCAACCTGGATGAGGAGGCCGAGAAGGAGGTTGCCGAGTGGGTGGCCAAGACGTTGGGGATTGATTTGGAGAAGGCGGAGGAGGAGGCCAAGGGTAAGATGTTTGCCGACGAGGCTGTTAAGAAGCCGTGAATTGGTGGTCTCTGCGGCGGCAGCAGCAGCAGCAGCAGCAGCAGCAGCAAAGGAAGTTAACACAACTCAATGATACCCGACTCGTTCTTTCTTCTTTCTCCACTCTATTTCTTTTCCTCTGTCTGCACCACACAACGGGTTATCTTTCGACTTGATACAGGATTACAGCAACTGCTACGGTGACCGGGGGAAAACGGTGGCCATCTTGGAGAGACAGTTCACTACTCGTACTTGTTTGTTTGCCTATGGATCTTCGGACCTGTTTCCGCGGATGAGAAACATAGCCAATGGGACAATGCCAGCTCTTTCTCCCTTCAAAATCCTTCCTACCTGTCAAACTGTCTTTCTATCTGTGTGTCGAGTCAAGGAGAAAAAGTGTCAGAGGAGGTCAACAAGGAACAAGAAACAAGCAACACGAAGCTCCATTATTTGGCTTTTCAAGACTTTGTACATCGGACCCGAAATCCCACGATATCGGCAACGATCAGGAAAGAGACAACTGGCGTGTAATTAGCCCTGACTACCCTGGATGCTCTCATGCATGTCTTCTCAATCAGGAACCTGGAAAAGGAAACACCCGTCCGCTCGCAGCATGTTCGCCGCCGCCAGTCCAGTGCACCAAACTTTTTGTTGAACAACGAACGAACGAACGAACAACGAATTGAGCCCCCCGAGGTCGTGTCACATTTTGCGGTGAGTGTATGAGAAGTAGCGGTGAGTGTATGAGAAGTATCATCGTCTTCTTTCTCCCCGCCTTTTCTTATCATTTTTAATTGCCACCTTTGTTCCCTTCCGTTTGAAATCCTCTGTGTGTTGCCCGCCACATGGCCTCGCATAGCTTCCAGTTCCAGCTTCCCTTCATGACACTGGCCGTTTGTCTTGCAACGCAACACGCGCACACACCCCTTTCCCATCCCTACATAGAAATTTCATTGATTGGGCCTGCGAACCTGCAGAAAGGGGTATCAACCGTTTGAACGTGGCTTTCTTTTTCTTTTTTCCCTCTGTTATCCGTCTGCCGTAGCCGGGAGTGTTAACCGCGCTGTCCGCCACTCGCGCCACAACCGCGTTTACACACAACAACCATGTCCTTAGGTATAGGGAACGCATGGATGTTTGACATGTGCATGTTACCAGCAGTTAGCAGTCCCTCCCGACCCCGATATTTTCCCGAACATCTCCCTCCATATCAAGATTTTTATCCCAATTTAGACCGGTACATACAACAAATGCTGAATTGGTAAATTTGTGATTACGGATCATGGCAGAAAAAGCCAGCCAGATGCCTACTATCTACGGATGCCATTCCCGATGTAGCTACGCAGCTACGTACATACGGCAACCTGTTTGGCACTGAGTTGGCTGTGCTGTCTGCTTCCCTTGCTATTTGTATCACCAGATCGACAAACGGTGTGTGTGTGGGTGCTTGTGTGTGTGACGACGCTTTGATTGACTGATGTGATGTGCTCTGTCTGCTCTGCTCTGAGCGTCGAGGGTTCTTTCGAGTCCGATGGTCTGGGATGAATGTTTACTTATATCCCGTTTCTCGTTTCTTGACCATGCTTTAGCTATTTCATGACTATTTTGATCTTTAAAGATCATCTTCTCAACAGGAGTTGTTTCTTCTAATCCATCCTTGACCATCACTCCCCTCCCTCTCTTACCCTAACTATCCTTCAATACCGCCATCACAATGTCAACAACAGCGACAATCCCAACCTACCGCTACCAATACCGGCCTTCTTCTTCTTCTTCCTCCCGCCTCCCCACCTCCAGCTTCAGCCTCTTCACCCCCCGCAACACCCTTCCCCACCATTACCTCGAATCGCCCACCAACATCTTTCTCCCTCAACAACAATTCTCAACTACAAATTCACAGCCACAACAGCCAGAGAAAATTATCATCCGCCAGGTCGGTGGGGCAGGTGATAACCACGTGCAGTGGGTATCCATTTCCGAAATAATTCCATACTCGGAGGGTGAGAGCAGCAATGGTGGCTCAGGTGGGAAGCATGGAGGGAAGCCAAGCACGAAAAGCTTGAAGAGCTACACCTCCCAAGTGCACGGCATAGTGCACACAGCAAGCTGGCCGAACCACGACGTGGGCGATCGGCTTTGGTTGAGGAGTGACCAGCCGATAATCAAGGGGAGGAGGAGCGTGCCGATTGTGAATCTGGATAAGGGTGTTAGTGGGGAGGTTTGGTATGTTTCTCCTTCCTTCCTTTCTTTCTTTCTTTACTCATTTGAGTTGTATCTGGGTTATTGGCTGTTTGTGGTTGGGGGAGAGGCGGACTGAGAGAGATAAAAAGACAAAAAAAGTGACAAAAAAAAAAAAAAAAAAAAAAAACTTGACAAGAAAAGAAGCTAACAAAACCACAGCATATCCCACGTAACCTGGCATCCCCAAAAACGAGAACTCAGCAGCAGCACCAGTGGTGGTAACACAACCATCACCTTTATCGGAGCTGAGTACCGCCACGGCCACGGCCATGGTCCCACCCACAGCCACTCCCACAGCATCTCCCACGGATACTCCCAAGGACAACAACAACGTGATGGTACCGGCGGTGGACCACATGCATTCAGGATGTGTATCATCCAAGATCCCAGCAGTAACAGCACAAGTCATACCGACAACGACAACGGCGGGGTTATCGAAATGATTTCTTTAGAAGAACTAGACACGTGCTTTGAAGATGTCGAGGATGTTAAGCCAGCACCGCCGTCATCATCACCATTATCGTCCTCGGTACACGACCACATTTACTCTCACTACCGCTCTCACTCTCATGCCCCACCACCGCCATCACCACCCACGGATCTCCAAATATCAGGTCCAGGCGACAACAATCACATCACTCACATCACTCACATCTCAAAACAGCTACGAGATTCTAGAGGTCTTAGACGTCATGGAGATCCTCGAGGTCCTAGAGGTCCTAAAAGCCCTAGAGGTCCTAGAAGTCCTAGAGACCCTGCTGTCATAGTCAACAAAACCGACAACAGGAGATTGATCAATGATAATGACGATGACGGCGGCGGCGATAACCTCAGCCACGCCTCCTTCGCAAGCTCATCAACCAAAGGAAAAGTGGCCATGGATCTGGTAGCGCTGAGTTTGTCCATCTTCAACTTCAACGCCGCCATGTTGGACTTGGCTGCGTTGTCTAATCAGAGTATGGGCATGGGAATGGGTGGTCTTGTGAGGGACATTGATGAACGACCGGAGGCGGAGGATGATAGTGATGAGGACGAAGAGGACGAGGAGGGAGAGGAGAAGGTGTGGAGTAATTGCGAGTCTATTCAATCGTCTGGACGGCAATCGGTGATGAGTGACGAGGAAGAGGGTGAGAGGAGTCGAGTAGAAGGGAGTGAAAGTGGGAGTGGCTATGATATGTAAAGTCGCAGTTGAGTAAGAGGTCATTATCGGAGATATCAAGGCAAGTATAATCTAATTACACTAATACCAATCCTAAGAAGCACTACTGAAAAACTTAACTAACTTGAAGATACTATCCAGCCTGGCTTGTTTTTTTAGTTTTATCGGACGAGCGCCCTAGACTAATAATGCCTTCCAATATCAAAGGCCTTGAAGGAGACCGAGAAAGGCGTCTGCGGCGTTTCAAACCCTTGCCATTATCCTACATTGCCTCAAACGAAGGACAGTTCCGTTCAGAAAAGGTCAGTGAGAGATTCAAAGTCCCCTGTTCAGCGCATGGTCGAAGAACCAAACTAACAAACAAACCAGTATTGGACTGTAGACCTAGCGATGCCTCACTAATCACGATAATAAGGGCACCAAGCAATACGCACTAAAATCAATATCGTACCAACGATATCAACGAGCCTTAAAGCGCCGCCATCTGTGCAACTCGCGCTGCAAGCGAGTCCTCATCCATTTCCAGCTCAACCTCCTCAACCTCCTCATCGCTTTCCTCGTCATATTCCTCCTTCTTGATTCCTTGATCTAGGCCCATGATTATCTGCTTGTTGATCGGACCAGCACTAGCACCACCATCACTACCATAACAAGCACCACCACCACATGTAGCAGGAGCAGGAGCTGCAGGAAAAGAGGAGACGAACGGATCATAAATCGCAGAAGCCGTGATAGTACCGGTGAGTGGGCTCTCAGACTGCGAAGCCCCAACAACATCTGGGATTACAAGCGGCTCAAGAGGAGGAGTTGGGTTCCTGTGACCCATTCTCACCACCTGCTCAACCCAAATGGGAAGTTCTCCCTTGACGGGAACACCACTATCAGCCGCCGAACCCAACCCAGCATTACTCGCCCTAGGGGGAGAAGCAGAGTAAATATCCAGCAAGAGATCCTCGGTGTCTAGAGAGGTTCGCTCAGTCAAAGGCTGAAGATTAGCGGAGCAAGTCGAAGCACTTAGATCACTGGTGCGACTGGAGTGATCACCGCGGATGACCGTCTCCTCATTGGTGGGTGGAGGAGTATAGGTCGTGGCGACAGGACCAGAGAGACCGATAGCAAGATCGGCCTTAGCGAACGTAGGTAGCGGGCCTAGTAGATGGCCCATGGCGGGAAAGCCGCCATCAGAGGCGCTGCCAAGGACACTCTGGGATCCAGCGCCAGGTGTGCGAGCGGAGGTAGAACTACCACCGTCAGAATATCCGATAAGAGACTTAACCTCTGGATGGAACTCGAGACAGGGCTCCTCTGTGGATGTTTTCCGGACCTGAAGAAGGAAGTTGGCGTCATACTTAAAGATTTTGCCCTTCTTAGAGACACCAACCTCTGGAGATACAGGCTTGACCACAGGGCTAGATGGAGGCGATTCAAAGCTGAGAAGGTCCTCCTCAGCAACCGGGCTAAGGTTCGAGGCGGACTTGGTAGATTTGAGCCCAGTAGATTCCTCGCCAGAGTTGTTTCTGTTCCGGGCGTCATTCCTCTCATCTCCATCCTCGTCGTCGTGACTGAAAAGGTTCAGGACCTGGCCATAATGAACGACCTTGCCATCGCTTGTGCGTGTGTAAGAAAGGGGATCGCCATGCTCATCCATAAAGTCACTGCCGCCGCTTGCATTGTGTCTGCCTCTGTGCCTCTGAGAAACGAGCAGGACGTCACTTAAAAGGTCCATATCCTCACTTCCATCGTCCAGTTTCCTTTGAATGATGCCGCTTGTCCTGGCAAGCTCACCGAGCTTGTCCCAAAACAGCCAGGGAAAGCTGACAAGTGGCATTGTCTTGGGTGTAATCCTTCTGGTTCCGAGGCTGCCATCAGGTCTAATGTGCGGCTGCTTGGCTTCATGCAAGGCAATACGAACTTCTTCGTAGGTGACTCTGTACATGGCCGACACGAAGGAAAGCAGATCGCCGCCGGCCTCTTTCCTACACTGATCCCTGAAATGCTGCTTGAGGGCAGAAGATTCGCGACCGACGTTTTCTTGGAGCTTGTATTCTGATCCCACGCGGGGCTTGGACATGACAAAGGCCGTCCAGACTTCGAACTCGGTGGCAATCTCGAGCTGGCACATTACACGGCGCATAGCGGTGTCGTACTGAGATTTGATACGGCGGGCTTTGGTCAGCGTCTCATCCCTAAGAGCGCGGCACTTTGTATGCTTAAGAATGCGGCTGTCGAACGGCAGCTCATAGTTCTCTTTCATGTCGAATGTCTCCCGTTTGACCATATCGTAGAGCTTTCCAAGCGCTGTTGCAGAGTGATAGTCGCGTTTCTTTTTCTCCATGAAATGAGGCCAGGATTTGGGATCCAGTCGTTTTGGGAACACGGCGGGCACACCAGTCTTTACGTAGTCAACGGCCATAGAGTGAAGGATAGCGAGCTCAAGACCTGTAGGATTCAATGGTTAGTGGTCATTCTTACAGTTACTCAACACAATACACTTACACTTGGAACTCTTCACTCCGTCCATTTCCGCATCCGCTGTGGCCATATGGGCATGAGCAATCAACGGCAAATTGTTGTGCTTCATGTAGAGCACAAAGAATGTAACCAGATTGTTGACGGTCGGTTCGTTTGCCAACTCCTTGCCTACAACGGGCTCATTGATCATCGGTGGATGGGAGCGTTCATTGGGGACAAGCAAAGGATCCCAGATAACAAAGAAGTCATCGCCATCAAGGTCTCCGCCAGAGCACATGCTGGGGACGTCTCTGTCCCCAGTTAAGGGAAAGACCACGACGTCTCTGATATGTCGCAAAGCAGGGACATCAACTGCCTCCACGACTCGGATATCACCGGGGTGGAGGGATGGGTTTCTGCCAACGACGCAGGTTCCAGTAATGACTTTGTAACCGTCGTTGACATTGTCAGGAATCTGCAGAAAGATCTGTGGGAGCTTCTCGCTGGGAACGTCCTTCCAGCCTTCTATGACCTTCATATGCCCTTTCAAGGTGCGAGACTCATCTACGCAGCCGAGCACGAAGGCACTCTTTTCCACGCTGAGCCGAGCTTTCTCCTTCAGTGTTTTGATGGACCATGATCGCCACAGCTGAAGTAGGGTGCGGACAAAAGGCTCCTGGGACTCCATGAAGCCGTAGGAGAGCATCTGTGCAATGATCGGTGTGATATGGTTTTCGTCAACGTACTTTCTCAGATACTCCGTTGCCTTTCGTTTATCTACCATTGCTGCGTTGTAGTCAGAGAGTTGCTTCTCCATCATGTCCACGAAAACTTGATCGGGCACACCGAGAGACGAGAGAACTGCGATGGTCTGTCGGTTCAGGGTGGCGGTTGCGAAAGCCGAACATTTGATAACCTCAAGGCCGTTGAATTCAGCAACGAACTTCTCCTGTGACTTCCGAATATGGACTTCCATACCCTTCACATCGGGCCAGGTAACCAAGACTCCCTTGCAACCTCCCATGCGGAACTGGAAGGCTGAAGGTAGCCTATCGAGGCTCCACTCATGCGTTATGATTTTCGCAAGCAGAGGAGAAATCTTGCCTACTCCGTCTGTGAAGCAAAACCCGTCCTTTTCAACATCAGGGATTGTGACGATCCTAGGTGCCGGAATGCCAGGCACTAAACGTGTGGTTGAAAAACACTGCCCAAGTCTGGCCGCATACTTGGCAATGACCTTGATGTGACTGAAGCGGCCCATCCAGGACCGCATCATGTCGCATGTCAAGTCGCTTTGCTCACAGAACATGTAGGCACCAGCCTCTCGAATTTGAGAGTTGCCAAATGCAAGGAACTTCCAGTGCCATAGACCCATGGCAATCCCTTCCTGCAACACCCTGTACGCACGCAAGAACAGGGGAAGTTCTGCTTCGCCGCTCCTGATACGACCCTCAAGAACCTCATCGGTGAATTGAATGCGGATAAAGTAGTCCTGTGCAAACCTCCACTGACGGATGACGCGGTTCGTGGGCTCGACGTATGGTGTACTGAAGTAGATACGAGTAGGTGTAATAGTGACCCTACGAACCAAAGCGCAGTAGTTGGGTATTATGAAGGTTGATGGGAAATACCTCATAGCTGCACTGTCCTTGAATAGCCCCATAGGATCAAAGATACGCTTGCCAGCGTACTCGTCGGCAGCATATTCGAGGATGAGGCGAGCACGGTCTTTGTTGAGGCTGTTGTCATCATTACAGAACTCCGTCAGCTTCTCAAGGAATGGTCGGTCAATATTGTGTTCGTTGATGATTCCTTGGGAAATACACACTTCAAGCTGGTACCGGACGTCAAACGGTAGGGAGATACGGGGCGGTGCTGCTAACAGAGAAAAGTCGTTGTTCCATGACTGTGATGAGGCAGGTTGGATGGCATGACCGTATCTGTCATCAAGGAGGTCCCATACCTCTGGCTTTTTGTTAGGAAGCGGCTCGGGAAAGACAGTCAACTTCGTCCTGAGATTCCAATCGAGCAAATGTTGTGAAACCTTGTCCCAGACCCTTGTTGAATGCTGATCCAGCTCAATCCAGTATGTGAGCCACCGGCCCAGGTCGATGTACTGGTGGTTCTCAGCGAGCGACACTGGGCCTTTGCCAACATCCTGTCCAGGGCTGATGTCCACCACTCTCTCCCACAGGTCGTTTTCGCTCCAAGTCAGCCGATCCTCACCAAAAGTCTTTGCCGCATCCTTTTTTCTGTACGCAACCGGCGGATCCCGGAGAGTCATGACCAAGGCCTGACGATGCTCCTCACCAACCATGGTTCTGCATAGTTCCTTGATGACTCCAAACTTAATGTGAAGCTTGTAGTGCTCGTTTTGTCTTTGAAACCCACTAGGTTTGCGCTGATAATGGAGAGAGAATTGAATCACCAATCGCATCCGTTTGAAATCGAACTTAATTCTCAACAATGAGTCCGACGACAGTGTTTGAACCGATTGTTTCTTCATGAATACCGCAGGCTGGACCAAGACGCCGAAGGACAAGGTTGAAGGACAGATGTATGCGGTTTGCGGGCAAGTTGTGCCAAGCTGAGTCCTGATGGTACGCTCCTTGTAGTCATCGCGCTTTGGGTCCACGGTCTCCAGAGGCAGCCAGTGATCAACAAGTCCAATTCTGAGTCTACAAACGCCTCGAGAGAGGAAGTCGGTAGACAGAGGAGGTGGCTCAAAGCGAACCAGAGCCCTCCGGCCGCGATCAGAAATGTCTGGGCGGTCCTCGTCAAGATCAATGTAACTGATGTGACCATGCTCTGAGAAAAGATTGTAGATATCCTGAACGTTCGCTCCAGGAGGCACATTTTTAACACGAATGGAAGCCCCCCTAGCCCATTTCCACTCCTTAGAAATAAAGACCGGTTGTGGAGGAGGACCGGAGGATGCGAATGGGGATGGTTTGCCGCGTGAGTATTGCCGAATAGCGCGAGGGGGATGTTGGGAAGAGCTGGAGGAGGGTCGAGAGGGCGGTCGCGAGGGTGGTCGAGATGTTGATGTATTCTCTTTGTGCCGCGGCTGCTGGCTAGGTCTGCACCGGCTAGCATGTGTAGGACAAGCGTCATCTCTGGGGCTCCTGTCCGGGGAAACGAGAGCTGCATGCTGCGCCTGCTCAACCCAGGCGGGTATTCCTGACATCTCGGATAACTGTCGTGGCTACAGTAAGCTTTCAGGTATTCGTCAGAATCGATCCAGATTCCTCTCTTAGAGGGAGGAAGGGGCAGGACTGTGGGATAGTGCTTGATGAGGTGCAGGTGGCGGTTGAAGGATTGCGCAAACACTTACTGACCAGTTTTCTTCTTTGATTCCTTGGTTGTGTTTGATGCTGCTGGGTCTTTATGATGGAGAGGGCGGTAGTGATCGCGAATGGGAGAAGCATTGATTCCCATGAGCTAGAAGAGAAGTCGTAAAATACCTGCAGATCGAGATGTGATTTTTGACGAGAAGATAATGGTGGGGTGGCTCGGTGGTTGCCGGGGAACGGACGAAATGATGGACGACTCGGGAAAAGGAAAACTGGACGAAAAGATTTGTCAAAGCCCGCCGCCGTTGAGCCTCGAACGCCGGACGGAGGAGTACACCTGTGTCAATCAAGTAATCATATGATAAATCGCAGAGACAATCGGATGCTCGGCTTCCGTCATGTCTCATGTGTATTGAAACGAAAGATCATCGAAAAGTCGGAAGTCATGGACGGAGGTGCACTGGGCAGGAAGGGGCGACAGATACCATGGAAAAGGTCGTGAGCTGCGATTGAGCAAGAATGTTCTGAACATACAGTTGAAGCAGCTTGAGCTGATATCCAACTCTCTCTCAATGTGTGTAACAAATATGTGACTGGTGATGTTTGCTGGGGTAGAAAATTGGCAGATGATGAATCCGGGGAATGCCAGTCGTAGGGTGGACAACGCATTTGTCAACTCCAAGCACCTGTGTTAGCAAGGCAAGAACCCCCAATGTCCTTATCCCTAGGCAATTATGGGCGGTTCAAGCACTCAGTTGTGAAGCTCCGCTTCGTACCTTCTCCCTCCACTGCCATCGTTCCTTCCTTCGGTTTGACATGCGATAAAAAGGAGTGTCGTCACCGCTTCCTGCCATCACTCGCACCCCGCTGTGCTCACAGTTTCATCGCGACTTTCTGCCTCGGACGATAGCGAGAAATTTGTGCTTCCATCACTGGTGCCTGATATCAGACCAAAGTACACCATCAGTGATTGGTCTCCATCTTGCCTCATCGAAAAGGAGAAAGTAACATCAGATCTGCTTGTTTTCATGTCCTGGAACTCAAATGTAAATGCATTTGATGCCCTTGGGCTTGTGAAATTCAAAATCGACGTAGAAACAAGGTGAAATTGAACGCCTTAGCTCCAAGTCCACGCACGGAGTTTTCGCTCTTCGAGGATGCACTCACTTCCGTCATGTCTCCAATCACGGTCCTCTTGTCCACCCCTCTTGCACCTTTTATGGCCACACTCCATCATCTAAGCCCTCGTCCATGATGATTCGAGTGAGGGCGAGGAAAGAGGATGCGGGAGACAAATGCTCTCTCTCCCTGACGAGTACAGGAAATATGACGAGTCCCATCTCGACACCCCCTTGCCCTCCCGCTTACCCTCGACGATCAAAGATCTTCCCCGGGTTCATAATCCACTTGGGATCCAGCGCCAACTTGATCGATTTCTGTATAGTCAATCAGCATGTCGTCCAGCTCCTTGCCTGATTCTGCCGGAGTGAAAAGACTTACCATAACACCAAGTGTATCCGGCCCAACCTCCCATAGCAGTGACTCCTTCTTGCCCCAGCCAACGGAATGCTCACCTGTGCATGTTCCCTCCATCTCTAGCGCCCTCTTGACCATGTTCTTCACGCACAATTCCACCTTATCCCTCTCTTCCTTCTTCTGCCGGTTATAGATGATACTCTCGTGGAAGTTGCCGTCGCCAATGTGCCCCAGGATGCTGGCAAAGAGGCCCATATCGTCCATCTCTTTTTTGCTAACTTCGATAATGTCAGCTAGCCTGCTGAAGGGTACAGCAACGTCAGTGCTCCCTAGAATGACCGACGGCGTTAGCTTTGCTGTCTTTGTGAAGACAAACGTTGCGTGTTGTTGTTTGTTCCTATGCACTGCTGCCAAGATATCACTCATCGAACAAACAAAAGAAAGGAAAGAAGAAAACTTACAAACTTCCTCCCCCTCCTTCCTCAAAGCAAGCATACTCCACAGACTCTCCTTCCTCGCGGACCACAGCAACTTCTGCTCCCTAGCATCCTTTGCAAACTCAAAGTTGCTCCCCTTATTTGTTTTGGTGATTCTCTGTACCAGTTCAATGTTCTCCTGCACGCCCGCTTTCGTCCCCGCAAACTTGAAGAACAGTGTCGGCATCTCCTTCCATACCCGTGGCGCCGTGGCTCCGCCCATGTTGACCACCTTCATCTGCACCTCGTCCATAATCTCCATAGCCGCAACGGGAATGCCCCGCTGCATAACCTCCGCGGCCGCTGATGCTGCGTCACGGATCGTGGGGAAAGAGACGACTGCGACCGAAAGCTCCTCAGGGACAACGGCTAGCTTGAGGGTTGCTTCTGTCACGAGACCCAGTGTGCCTTCGGAGCCGACGAAGAGGCTGTTGAGGTTGTAGCCGGCTGAGGACTTGCGCGGACGCCGGCGGGTCTTGATGACGGAGCCATCAGCGAGGACTACTGTCAGGTTGATGACCCAGTCTTTCATGGTGCCATACTTGACAGCGTTGGTACCGGAGCAGTTGGTTCCGATCATGCCACCGATCTTGGCACTCGGGCCTGTGATATTTGTTAGTGTCCGGAGACTTCAAGATCTTTTCTGTTACAGCGGACACAAGACACACCTGGATCAATAGGAAAGAAGAGCCCGCTCTCCATCTTAGCAAGCTGCTCATTTAGATCCTGCCAACCAATGCTCGGCTGAACGACGATGTCCATATCCTCTTTGTTAAACTGGACGATTTGATCCATAAAGGCAAAGTCAACACTGATTCCCCCGAAAGGCGCGGAAAAGTTTCCTTCCAAACTGGAACCTCCAGAATACGGAATGATAGGTACTCGGTACTTGTGACATATCCGTGCGACTGTCGACACTTGCTCTGTTGACCGGGGGTAGGCTACCGCGACTGGCAGTCCCTCAGGGTTGGTCGTTGACCACTCCGAATACCCATGAGCGTGGAGGTCATCCGGATCAGTCGAAATGATGTCCTCGCCCTCAATCTCTCTTCTAATCTCAGCGATAGCCTGATATTACCAACTCTCGCGTTAGTCCAAGCTTTACCCTTATGACTTGAAAGTGGAATGAGGTGATAGTGACTTGGTTATAACGAGGCCTGACAGCGATCACACTAACGTACCAGCTCCATTTCGTGTAGGCTTGCGTAGTCCGGCGCAGGATAAATGCTATCCATCAGCAGAGCTCCGGGAAACCCGTTATGCCGAAACTCTGACAGACTCCAACCAAGGAGACCCGCGGTAGTGGCGATGACAAAGGCTCCTGATACAGGAGGCCATGTCGAAGCCCATCGTGTCTGACGTGCTTTGCCGTTACTACTACCACTACCCTCTTTAGAGATGTTGCTCCGTACGGTCGAAGTGGTAAACCGCTGACAGTAGATGAAGCTCCCAGAACTCCCACTAGCCCCAGGGCCAGCAATAGCCCGCCTGATGGGCCTCGCCGCTCTGATGAGGTTGGTTGTCGACATGCCGGTCAGCGTTGAAGATCGGATCGGTCACGCTTGGTTGAGTTAAGGGTGATAGAGTGTACCGTTGTAGTCGAGTCTGATGTGTGAAACGAGTCTTCAAGTTCACAGTTGATGCCTGGTTATATATGTACCGAATACTATTGTTTACTTGGGAGGACGAAATATTTGACACCGATCGGCCCGATGAGCCCGTCTTGTGATGATTAGTGAGTCTGATGACTGAATACGACACAAACAACTTTGCTTTCTCAACGGACCTGATATTTCGCTTACCTTGGAGAGAGTTAGGTCGGAAGAGGGACGGTTTGACTACCCCGTACTTATCAACTCGTGGCTTGGCTCTCACGCACACTTGCACCCGACGAGAGTACCCACTCCGAAGACTAGGCCCGGATTGACACAGCCTTTGGAAAAGGGTACCCGAAGTCACACACTCGGCTCACCGAACCACGCACCGTGCTTGTTTTGTAACAAACAAATGACGATCCGTCCGTCTTGGGCAAGGTTATATGTGTTAGTCTTTTGACGTTTTGAATCAGCTCTGTTGGGACCTAGCCCTAGAGGCTTTTGGGAGGGCTATAACGAGGTTGCGTGTGGAGGACTTGATGACCAAATTGTCATAGGTTTATGGGAGATGGTTGAACTTTTTAGAGTGCGGTAAAACATAGAAAGAATACCCAAAAGGTGCTTGTAAAGCTCCAAGTGCGAATAAGAGCCGCTTCCATACAAGGAGAAGGGTGCAGTAAAGAGAAGTCGGGGTCGTATAGCTGGCAGACCCAATAAAAAGAAGAATATCGAGCTGGCTGGCTCAAGCATGGTAAACTGCCATGCGCACTACGGAAAAGAGCCACAATGTAAGCCAAGTCTGTCAGAATTCTCCCGGGGGCGACAGGGACAGTACCCGTCGTCACCAGGTGGATCTGACAATTTGCAAGGCAGGGGCCGCACAACAGGATCCGAACGGTGGTGGCAGGAGGCAGGCCAGAGAGCTGCCTGAGCGGGTATAGGCGTACTTGGTGTTTTCGTGGCCAGCTAGCTTGGAGGACTCAAGGGTATTGAGGGGATTGTGTGATGTAGCGCGTCGTGGAACTTGCGGCCGAAGACAAAGAAAAGGGTGGCCGTAAACGAGCAAAAGAAAGGCCATAAAAACTGGCTGATAATTTTCCCACTAGGAGTGTTCGGAAAGGGCTAGGCTAAGAGAAGAGCCAGTGCATTTCTAATCGGCCACAGAGTTGTCATCTTACAAAAGCCGAGAGAATCTTGGAAGGGGAGTGAAAAGACAGGCAGGTCATCCTTGACGCCACGAAAAATCGAGGATCTAGATCACTGGCGCCTCTAGATATGCCTGGTACAAATCTCATCCGGTTGGTAGGGCAGCCTCGTGTTTACCCATCGCATGGCACTCGCGCAAAGTGTCCTGTCGTAGAAGACTAGGCAGAACTGGGTGTCAAAAGATGGGATGGGGGTACTTGTGGGGAAAGGGAAGAAAGACAAATGAGAGAAACAAAGAAGATTTACACTAGTCCCACATCCTCCCACGCGTAGCTCACATGGCATTGGCGGGGGTAGAGACCGAAGGTCGGCACTGCAGTAGCGTCTGGTGGTGTGCTCGGGCTAGTTGGCGAGCTAGAGGTCACGCCGCGCTTCAGGTACCTGAATTGGTGTCATCAAGTGGAAACTCAAGAAGGACTTGGCTCCTGGTAGTGGGAGAGAGAAAGAACGACGTCTCGCGCCCGAGTTGCTCGGGATCATGATATGAGCGTAGCCTGAGGTAGCATCTATGGAACCCCCAACGAAAGGTCGCTTGTCGTGGACTACTAGTTCCGCTCCGCACAAGCGGTATCAATCCGCTCTTTGGCAGTGATGTTCCAACCATTGCAGTGGACATTCCTTGGAACTTCTTCTGTAGAAGTTGCAAGTAAATTGCAACCCAAGGTGGGAGAAGAGCCTTCGAAGTAGGTAGGTATGTACCTATAAACCATGGTCACCGTTACATGCATCGTAACTCCTGAGATGGAAATCTCCTTTGAGGATTACCTAGACGTTTCTGAGTCAGGGGAGTAATGGGGGTTACCGGCAATGTGTTCCAACGCCGTCGATCGGGCTACTGTCAGCAGCTCGCTCCCAGGTACCGGTTTCGTGGTGTTCCGGACCAGGGAGTGCAAGCCACACACCTATGCAGAATGAGTTTGGCGTTGGTTTTCGAGTCCTGAGGAAAAAGAAAGTTGATGATCTACAGTGTTATGAGATTGGAGTCGCTCTCATGGGCGCATTCATGGTGCCCTTCAAGCCTCTGAATGCCTGACTATTGTGTAGGCTTGGCGAACTCGGGGTATCTCGCCCGCCGGACCCGGAGCTTTTTGCAACTTATGTAACCCTCGAGGTGTTGTTGCCGCGCGTAGGTCGCATCCGTTACTGATCACTTGCTTTTGTCTGACGCATCAGCTCTTCGCCCACATGGTCGGGCCGCAATCACCAACGGATGACAATGCGGTGAAGAGCTTGCAATGTGCGGTAATACCGTTACTTGAGGGTACCATGCCGAACTTGAAGTCGTCCATAGTGTATATCTGTACTTGAAGGCTCCGGATAGGTTGATCTGGCAGACGTATAGATAGCAGTGGTGTGTTCATTACTGGGTTATTGGAACCGCCGGAGCCGTATCTGGTTATTTCGGTGAAAGAATGCCGCTTATTGCGACCTCAAGGGAGTCAAGAGGGCTATTCCTAGCCATGTCAGCCAGCTTCCGACGGCCTCGGCCTCGTCAACATCTGAAGTCCTCTTAGTTGCGGTTTGTGAAACTGTGCATCCATGACGGACACTTACCATAAGTTCGATGAATACGGTCCCTTGCACTCTTCGCCCTACATGTAGTTTTAGTGGCTGGAACCTCAATGTCCCCATCCCATTCCTATGCTCGTCTGGTGACTTCAGTGCAGAAGCATGGTAGAAAAAGCAGTAAGCATGGGGACGGAACGTGACTGCCGAGGTCATGAGGACAAAAATGAAGTGAAGAAGTTGGCAATCGGCTGCGGGAGCAAACAAAGATGGAAGAAGTGAAGTGAGGTCAGCCTTGCCAGAGTCATTTCCCCAGACTGGGCCACAGCAGTGAGGTACCGGCGACAATCCGAGATTGCTCAAGACAAAGTGCGGGGAAAGAAACGAGCCTTCTGGCATCTCACTCAGATGCGGTGCAACTTTCACACGCCTCGTGCGAGTCGCCGTCAACTCCTGCCAATTAGGCCAAGCTGGGGATGCTCGCCGAGTCGTGTTGTGTTGTGTGAAAACGACGTAGTCACGATCCGTCAGCTCCAGGGCTTACCGAGCCTCGCTTGAAATTGGAGGCACGAAGAATTTGAATGCAATGGAACTTGGGTTTTGAAGAGGCAGCCGGGCAAAGAATGGTAGAGTGGCAAGGGCAATGACTGACCGCATGGCTGCCTTGAGACTGGAATGCGGTGCCTTCGGTGATACAACATCATAATGTTGGAAGGCGCAACTCAGATGCGTTGAGGTTTGAAAATGTAAAGGAAAGCTCTTCCCCACGTGCAACCCTGGCGAACCCCCGCCTGAGCTCCTGCCGCTACAAGCCCCTCCTTGCCCGCGATTGCCCTATGGAGACGCCAAACCGGTGGAACTGCCCCGCATTGAAGCACCTTGACGGCGCTCCGGTTGAATCCACTGTGTCTTTTGGTTAAATCCACTGTATCCACATCGAAATCGCAGCGAAAATCATGAATTGGCACGGGCTATTATCAGACTTCCTATGCTCGACATCACCAAGGGCAATTCTCGAAAGTATCAAGTCACCGCAGCTAAGTAAAAACCGATACTAGCATACTTCAAACTAGTAGAAGTCCTACCGCCCTTGAAAACGCTAATTGTGTTTCCAAAGTTTAAAGGGCTTTTGAAAGACAAATGCACTCATACTCTAAGGGACTCTTAAGAAATAGAAGTGCTTATTCATATGCTTTTTTCTGCGTAGTCATTGAAAGACCTTCGTGAACACTAGCCTTGGAAGATACAGTGGATTTAACCGAACCGCTTGACGGACCCGGGCGGTCCCACCTTCCAGAAGCCCACACAACAGCTCCAACGGAAAGTGCACAACAGGCGGAGACAAATCACACGACAACGACGACGACGACAACGATCCTCACTCCAAAACTTCTCCCACTTCAAGTTCTCAAGAACACCACCCCGCTTCTCAAGACTGCGCATCCATCTCCCTTCTTGCCAAATCTGCATTCTACATATTTCCTCCTCCTCCATCGTCGGCAGTGGGGGAAAGAACTTTGCACGGTTTGACATTCAGTCATTGCCGCACTCCCACACGCTTCCAAGAGGCACAGATCGCTGAGCCTCAGCATGGAATTTCACCACCAACCAGCTTCCACATTGTCTCTGAGACAGAACGTGTGAGTCCTGTCCATCTGGCACAAGCTTCGTCGCCATTCTTCCTGCATCCCAGAGGAGCAGATTTACCGTCATGGGGTTACACGGTCCCACGGTCCCACCACCAGACCAACGACATCGCAGAGTCTCACCTAGTCTTCCTGCCTCGGAGTAACCGCCTGGTCTTCTTTTCAGCTTACGTTGTTGATGCGCTCCTGTGGGAATGGCTTCCATTTCATACCTTGCAGACCGCTTCTTTCGAACCGAGGAAACTGGAAACCGTTCTCAAACCTTCCTCTTCTCCGTGTCTTCGAATCCTTCGAGTTCTGTCAAGCTGAGCCAACCTTACAGTCAGACATCAACCTACACACACCCCCTCAGCAACCGCACTTGCCCGTTGTCATACCCCATCCCCTCTCAAGCTTGTTTACTCCTTCGGCCGGCATGTCATACACTTGACTAGTTCAAGCGAAGAAAGCAAACTTTCAAGTACAAACATTGTGGTCATCCCTTGCCTGTCTCGTTTCTTCGCGTTCGAATTCGCTACTTCATGGTGGTCCGAGATGCCAAGGCATAAAGACTCGGGATTGCCATTACAGACAATTATCGGCGAGAGCTCAAGCGAGACGCCACCTCCAAATTGTCGGAGCAGAAAAAGCAATGTCTTACGCAGAGTTGACAGGCCGGCAGGGTCAGACAGACAGCCGCCCACATGCCCACTCATCTCCGAAGGATGGCACGGTGGGCAGTTAGTTCGGCCACGGTGCCGACTTGGATTCCAGAATTCCTTCAGAAGCCAGAAGGAGCCCAACAGTGTGGCGAGTAGCAATGGCAGCTTCGAGGCTTTTCACTGGCCTTCGTCACCATATCTGGTGTGCATCCTCACAGCGCCCTTTGTGTCTACTACATTGACTGCCTGCATTACCCATTGTTCTCCGTCTTCACAGTAACATCCAAAAACAAACCCCTGACCAGCTGGATATCACCGACGTCGTTAGCCAGTATCAAACTTTGCAAGCGTAGCCGCACTACGCAGGAAGCTAATTCTCAACCAAGATGCTCCGGACCACGGCCTGGCCCCAAGCGTACAGCTTTGCATATGTAGCACTCCATACAAGAAGGTGCGGCAGAGCATGTTATGGCCAGCACACCAATGATGACCATGGATGGACAAGCGCCCATCGATCGTGACCCTTTCCCTTCCTTAGGCCTTGGCCAGGATTGGTCTAGACGGCACGACAAACATCACATAGGCTCAAGACTACTGCACTCACTTGCTTCTATCTCATGTACGATGATCAACATCCGGACATCGCTGGGAAGTAGTGTAGTTGACACCTCAATTTTTGTCAAGATGGTACGTATCTACCACTCGCCCCTCCCAGCACTGGGAGCGACAGATGGACATGATGAGAAAAAAGCCTTCCGCACCCTTCAGGCATTTACCCGCACGTCAGCTGATGGTCACGAGACTGGGCAGGATGGCCAGATGAAACATCAGTTGAATGGCTACGAACTTCTGAAGATATCAACCAGCTACGGCAGACAAGTCTAGTCCGCCTTCGCATACGTGAATGAATGGCCTCTTACTAGCTGGGAAAGAACTCGATTTTTTACGACGTTGACAGTAAGGTCAAAACACAAACATACGAGCGAAAAGAAGCATTGCTTTACGAATCATCTAGGGGATGTTCAAGTAGAGTCCCAGCTAGCCCACACCGTCGAAATATGTTGTCACCCGCCAACAGCATGAACTCACCATTGCACCTTGGATTTCTCCCGCTCCTCACCACGAATCCTTCCCAATTAATTATTACTTTCGTCATCAAATGTCGTAAACCGAGAAGAACGCCTTGGTATGTCGTGCTTCTGAGGAGAGTCGTGGTACTGGCTAGGTAATTGCATACTGTATGGTTTGCCATTACTTGATATATACTACCTCCCCTTCTCCCATCGGTTCGTGTATGCCTCAGCCTCATTAACTTTGACACTAACAGCCGTTGTCGTGCCTGGCTTGGCTTGCTGATCAAGCGGTTCGGAGGCGAGTATGTGCCGAGTAACACAGGAAAAAGCTCCCCCTGCCAGTATTGCTGAGCACAGCAAAAACCAACGCAACTAGATGAAGGCAATGGCAACTCATCGGTGAATGAGCATCCGGTAATTCAGCTCACAGTGGTGAATTGCAAACAGGGAAATGTTTGCATGTCCTAGCAACTCGCAGTTCTTAGATCACACAATTTAAGAAAAGACAGCGACATACGCCGAGGATGGGAAAGCCTTCAACACTCGCACCTGACAAGTGGTCACTTACTACATGGGGCACAAAGAAAGGAAGAAGCGCTGGTATAGATATTGAAAAGCCACCCTTATGGGAAGGAAGGGAGTGAATAAGAAACGGTAAAACACAGTGAAGACCATAAGGGGTTTGGCTGGCCCAAGGGTCATTAATGGAGCAAGTTTAAGCAAGGGCCGAGTCTTATGGGGACGACTCTTCCTTCAGCTTCTTCACTAAACCCCGTATTGACCCATTCACTGGCTCAAGTCCCTGTTCGACGTACCTACAGTCACTCGGAAGAGCTAGACTGAAACGGCGTCTATGGCGAAGGAAGAACTTACAACACAGACATCGGTCACTTCGGCTTATCTGAGGGGTGCGTCAAGCTGGATTCCTCTGTAAGCCACTCAATGGTGACTGGCTCTCAGTCATGACCACTTGCGTAAAGACGTTTGTGTTATCTACACCTAGACGATGCCGTGCACAAAGTGTGCTCTGTTATCACCATTGTACTGACTGATCAATGTTGTTTCCAAGAGTCGATTTACCCGGACACTAACCATTTAATCACGAAAGAAAGAGAAGGCACAGAAGGATATCTTCGTCCATGGCGCCAATGTCAGGCCTACTGCCTACTCGGTCAAGCCCCGACCCGGGTGTACTGCCCAACTGCCCCGTCAAGCCGTCGAGCAGGCAAACATCACCATGATTCGCTCGGATCAAGGACACTCGTCACCCGAACCCGCCATGGTCTTCGTAACCAAGAAGGGAGCAAGAAAAGGACCTGTACAGAGATCCAGTCATCTGTCTATGCTTGCTCGGAAATGCCCATCTGGTTCTACTCGTTCACTTTCCCGCCAACACCAACATCAACACTCCACTACACCAACACTCCGATCAACACTAAGTGTCATCACATCGTATCTGACATGCCAGCGTATCTCATCACACCCGATTCCTTCCGGACGGGCCAGTCTTGCCTTGCACTTCAGGAACAGCGCGGTAGCCGCGTTTTGCGCCCTTACCCTCTCCCACCCATTTCCAGTCACTCGTCTGTTTCCGCTTCCCATGGCCTCTCAACCGCAGCTCTCAAACCCAACCCAGCAGTTGACGAACACTGTACTGCTCAGCCCAACCCTCCCGAGTCAGACTTCTGACTTAGCTATTTGATGCCCGATATGATGCTTCCGGCGCCACTATCACAACGAGGTACCCTCTGTTTAGCCGCTTGGACTCTCGTGTCTTTGAAGGTGATTTTAGGAGAGTCTCAAGGACACCTCCAAGAAGAGAAAACCCAAAAAGTCTTCAGGGGTAGTGACTCTCGTTCTCTAGCCGCCCGGGCCCTTTCGCTTCCCACCGAACCCCTTCCCTCTCTCCCGCCTACTTCCCCACCTCCTTTCTGTTGTCTGGCTTACGGGGCACTGCCGCCACTTATTTCTTCCTCATAGAGCCTTTCACACAAATAGGTCGTCCGGGAGGAAAGTAGAAGGAAAATAACTATGTAGAGGTAGTGGTCTTCGCTTAGAAATAATGACCGACCAGGGGTAACCAAGGGTAAAGGTAATGAGAAGGAAAAAAAAAAAAAAAGTAACACCCTGACGTTGGTTCCCAGTACCTGGCTAACAAGACTGACACTCCCTTTATCCCCTCTGTAGGTAGGTACTCTGTGCTTCCATTTAGAGCTAGATCAATGACGAAGTAGCCATAGAGCATAGGGGGAGCACTTCGTTGGGGTACCCGACTGGACTGGCCTGTGCGAGGTACAGCTGAATTACCTTTCTCTTCAACGAGTTGGGTTGGCAGTGAATTTAAATTTCGAAAGAAGTTCAGTTCTGCGATAGGGATTTCAATGATGTAGCAAATGATGGTCTAGACATCCGGGGTTAACGTCCCGTCTATCCCCGTGAGAAACAAGAGAAACATGAAAACCCAATGAGAAATGAATTCTCGATGCCCCAATTCCCAACTCCAAAGTCCATGGCTATCAGGTTCAAGTACATCCGATTACCGCGACACTTGAAGCTTGACGTGTTATGGTTATCCAGCAAGATAGTCCAAGCGTGAATGAAGTGTCCCAAGAGCCATGATGAATCTTTTTGTCCCCTCGATATTCTACCATGTGAAAATTGAACTTGATGACCCAAGTTCGGTTGTAATCCGGTTGGCGCGCTTGAGAATCCATCACTGTGATCACAGACGGGGCCTTAACAAATCCATGAAATATGAAGGCTGGGGGAGCAGGAGGCAGGGGGATATCACCAACACGTTTTCTCGTGGTAGCATCGAAGTTAGGTTAGGATTATGGGACTATGGGGCGCCCAGACGGAAATAGTTCATGATGGGTAAGGGCGGGAAGAAATGGGGAGGAGGGGAGCGAAGGGCTCGAGAAGTGACCAAATGATCCGAGTGGTTCAAAGCCGAGTGGGCGAGTGATGAGAGGTCGTTGGTTTGATGTGTCGTCCGGATAAGGTCATCTTGGGCATGGTTGGCGAGCACGTCGTTGGGTGATGAGTTGAACCCAAGCTAGTACTAGGACCCTAGAGCAATGTGATGGTCACGGAAGTCGGAGAGATCTCGCCAATGGATTCAACGATATAAGCAACATCACATTCACAATAGCGAGATGACAAGAGCTGGATCAGACAGAGTTTGAATAAGGTTAAGGGCACGGGGGCCCACTTGTTGTAATCCAGTTATCAGGAGCCATGTTTGATGGACATCCATCTAGAACTAGAAAATACCTAGGGTCCGGAGCTAAGGCTCGTCGCTCTTACGCGACGGGTATCTTGAAATTTCACATTCCCCGTTAATAACTCCATCCCAGCATGCATTTCTTCATCGTTAGGTATCAACCAAAGCCAGAAGCCCCCGTTTTTTATGCCCCGAAATCCTTAGTCATGGGAACCAGCACCAGAAAACACCGTACTTGCACACATTTAGTGAGCAATGGCGTTGGCGCGGCGGCGGTCACGCTCCTCAGCGATGGAGAGCTTGACACCCTTGCCCTTGGGGAGGGAGATCCAGGGCTTCTCGGAGCCGATAACGAAAACGTTGGACTCGCGGGTAGCGAAGGTGTTGTCAAGGGCATCCTTGACGTGGATGATGTTGAAACCACCATCGTGACGCTCACGGTGGGTGATGACACCAACACGGCCCATGTTACGACCGCCAGTAACCATGGCGATGGAACCAGTGTCGAACTTGACGAAGTCCTCGATCTTGCCAGTCTCAAGGTTGATCTTGACAGTGTCGTTGACCTTGATCAAGGGGTCGGGGTAGCGGATGCTGTTTGTCACGCACATGGGTTAGTCAACCGTGGGAAAAATTGGACGTACCAGCCGTATAGATCCTTGCTTGAAGGTATGTGTGATGCCGCAGAGGAATATGTTCCCCCGTTCCACACTTTCCCACTGTATCCCGCAGAACAAAAGTCGCTAAGGACAAAAGTAGGGAGTGTGGAAGAAGGGTGAACTTCCACGCGTATCTACCAAAGCTTGGTCCAACGGCTGATAGATGTGGGCAGAACTTACGTCCTGGCATCATGCGTAACCAAGAATGGGATACCGCCCTTGCCGAGCTGGACGCGCTTGACCTTGCCGAGCTTGTACTTGGCCTCCTCATCCTGGATGCGGTGGACGGTGAAACGGCCCTTGGTGTCGTAGATGAGACGGAAGTGCTCGCCAGTCTTCTCGATGGTGATGACGTCCATGAAGCCGGCGGGGTAGGTGATGTCGGTGCGGACCTTGCCGTCGACCTTGATGAGGCGCTGCATCATGATGGCCTTGGTCTCGCGGTAGTTGAGAGCATACTTCAGTCTGTTGCGGACGAAGACGATGAGGGGCATGCACTCGCGGAGCTTGTGAGGACCAGCGGAAGGGCGGGGAGCATAGACACCCGACAGCTTGTCGAGAAGCCAGTGCGAGGGGGCGCTAAGGCGCTTCTGGTGCTTCTTCCTGAAGTAGGGAGCAAGAGTCAGTCATGGCCATCCGCCATCAGGTTTTGCGATTGTGACATCTCGACGTGATCTTTTGGTGTTGCAGCGTTTGGCACCCAATTTCGAAGACGTGACCGAATTCGAAACTGGTCGCCCAAATGCAGCGTCCCCGAAAAGCATCGTCTCGTCGAAAGCATATCGTCAACGATCCATAGGGGTGGTCTACTTACGGTCCTCTGCCCATTTTGACGGTTGGCTAATGGATTTGCTGGTCGAGAAAATCGGGAGGGAAAGTTCGTCGAAGAGGCCGGCCAGGTAAATATGAAAAGTGTTTTGTGCCTCGAAAACCCTAGCGGCCTGTGTGCAGGCGGTGAGAGCCGGCAATTGCGCTTGGCGCTTGGCAGTCGCGAATCCGCCTGGTCTGTGCTCCACCTTGTGGTTTGCGCCCCACCGCGACGCCTCACTTGCTGTGGAGCAGTCGCCAGCTGAAAGCCTGGAAGAAGCGAGCAATCGGGGTTAGGGTTGACGTCAAATGATCGTCCTTCCCGTCTCCGGACTGTTGCCCCCCTGAAATGTGATCACCATTTTCTCCCGCAGTGGCCTGACATCATGAACAAACGCTCTTATCAGACTCGGTTGATACGTTAACTCGCAAAGCACCTCACGATATTCATTCTGGCATCAGACCATGCATTGATCAAAGTCAATCCAACTCCTATTTGCTTCGCTCGTGTACTTTGAACACTTTGGCATGCTACTGTTAGGTAGTTATGCATGCCTATCACTGGTATATCTTCTTGTTTCTTGTATCTCTCTCGTAATCTCGTCTTCCTCCCGAAGTGGAAGGTTACTCCCGCTTCAAATCGTTCTGTAGATCTGATATCTGTCTCAACCAAGGAGACGTTCTCCATGAATATGTGTGATACACTCCTCCCAATGTTGCCTCTCCTTCCTGAGAGACAAATGCGTGTCCCTGATTTCCCAATGCCAATCTTTTGCCAGCCCCTTGACTGACGCCGCCCGGTGTATATAAACGCAAAGAAAACTGTTTCTCGAATCCCGCCCTGATGACCGCTTACGCCCTTCATCTAGAAACCCGTATACGCTGATAACATAGCAAAAACAAATTGAAGTTCGTCAGCTTCGAAACGATATACGCTGGCCGTTCCCTGTGCGAGAATTCCCCTGTGTCGGAGATGTCAAAAGATCTCTCTCGTTGATGGCAAAAGATTGCAACATTTGTAGCAAGCTCTCTGTATGCCTACCTGTTACTTCGTCGTTTAAAGAGCCCTCCGGTGGGCGGGCCCACCCGATGAACCATCCTGACCTCCTGGAAGGACCGGCCCCCCTCCTCCCATACCTCCCTGTCCGTATCTCAGGCGTTCAGAGGCTGAAGGGTCTTGGGCATCATTTAGCAGAAGTCGGGAAATATCCATGTCAGGCGGTCCTCCGAAGTATGACGACGGCAAAGGACCGTCAGGCATGTCCGCAAAGACAGAAGCTAGACCGGGCAAAGTCTCTGTCGGATCGCATGTTGTGCTCGGGAGCCACTTGGGCAATTCTTCCCTGGAACTCTGCCGCGATACTTGCGGTTCGATAGATCGAGCTATGGTCGGTTCGAGACTTTTCGACATGGTAGGGTTGATGGAAGGTTCCAGTAGATTGATGTGGGATGAAGACGCCTCCGCGCTGCCACGGGCTTGTTGGTCCTTGTCCCGGGGATTCGTCTTCTCGATGCTTGCGTAAATGGCAGGATATTTGTTACGAACCCGGTCACGCAAATCCGTGGGCTGGCGGCTTTGAAGATGATACTCTGGATCGCGTTGGATCTTGGTCCAAGCAGGCCCGTGCTTCTTGAGTCCTGCCAGAATTTCCTTGTCGTCAAGGTCCGTAAATGGACGCCTTTCACGACGGTGAGACTTTTTGAATGGGCCCCTTATTCCCAGCTCGACAAGATCTTCCATCTTCTTCCGGTGTGCCCGACTTTTTCTCTGTTTCGCAGGGGCCGAGTCCGAATCGCCCCTATCCTTATCACTCGGTCCAACTTCTGGGTTGCTCAAGAGAGCGTCCAGCGACAAGCCGTTCTTGTGCCTGCTGTGGTGATGAACGTGGCTGCTTGATTCGCCTGATGTAGACTTGTCGACCCCAGGACTTCTCTTTGCTGACCCGGAACGCAGCTCCTCGGGACAGCAGGTCCGAAACCGGTCCTTGAGGTCACCCGCAGTCCGATCGTTGAACTTGTAGTCGGGATCCTCCAGAATCGTCGTCCATTTTCCAACACCATGCCGACTGACACCCAGCAGAAGATTGTTGGTTTCCTCATCGGACCACTTCCTCCGTGGTTTCGCCGCCCTTCGTTTTGCCTTGCCACCACCACTGGTCTTGTCCCCGTCTGTTGGGGGTGGTGATGTGATGGACCACTCCGCAGGGGGTGTTGTTGTTGTCGAGGCAGGGATATGGGCCGGAGGAGTGAGATCATGCATATAACCGCTGATCCTCGGTGGCTCATGGTCAACACCAGAGAGTATCGGGGGAAACCTGCTGGCGTTGGGGTTGGGTGGCGGTTCGTGGAGTCCGTTGAGGATGGGTGGCACCGTGACTACTTGTTGAAGAACCACCTCTTGAGTGGACTTTTGTTTCTTGAGCGGCTGAGGTAACTGGACATAATCGTCTTTGGCAGCGAGGGCCCGCTGTCGCTTCTTGTTGTAGGCATCGTGGAGAGCATCGGGGTGGTCGTCTGCAGGCCTGCGCAGAGAAGAGAGGGATGTACTGCTCGCCTCTGGAGAGTTGGAAAGCAGCAATTGGAGTGAATAGCTCGAAGGAGGGTGACGAGCTGCAGGATCGCTTCCAAAATGGTCTATCCTTGGCGTCTGCTTGGCCAACGACTCGTTACTTAGCGTATGAATCGGCGGTAGTGTCGGTAGTTGGTTGTCGTTTCTCTGCTGCTGCTGCTGCTGTTGATGCTGTCCAGCATCACGGGGCAGAGTGGGTAGGAAGAGCGAGTTGTTGTTCGCAGGGGTCGTTAGAGGACCGAGCTGAGCAGGTGACGGGCTATCGGCTTGCTGAGTGTTGAGTACGGTTGAAAGGTGCATCAGCCGTGGCTCGATGGTAGCCATCGTGAAGGAAGGGTTGCCTCGAGGAAGCCGGCATTGGGCAGTCGGCGAGGCTGGACCCGGGGGCGTTTTTGAGGGCGACAGCGTGGATGGATGAATGGTTGAGTTTAGTGTTAAACTGCCTGTTGAAAATTGGGTTGTTGTGACGGGATCGTGGATGTGGACAGCGCGATCTGTGGTGATGATGACGGAGGAGGGGAGTGGATGGCAACTCTTTTTTTCTTTTTTTTTCTCCCGAGTCCAAGAAAAGCACAAGATGGATACTTATTTGAAAGAGAGAGATCTATTAAAGAAGAAAGACGAGACCCAGACCACAAGACCGTCGATGCCGACAGCGCAGGAAACCGAGACTGAGACAACGTTGTTTACCCTCGTGACAAAGTAAAGGCGGGGAGGAAAGACGTGGGAGGAGGGAAAGGGAACGGGAAGGAAAAAAGGAAGTTAGAATTAAGGATGATTCTCGGACGAGGTTGTCCAGGATGATAGGTCTCGGCTTTCACTCACTTTGGGAGGTTCGATGGAGTGGTACGTACAGGTAGCAGGGCCTCAATTGTTCGCTGTACCTTCACCACTTCCTTGGCCCTTCTGATCGCCCCATTGGGTCCCAGAAGCTAGGTCGTTCGATAACTGCGGTACTTGCCCTGGAAGGTGACCCGCAGCACCCGGCCTGGGAGCGAGCGACCTGCATATGCGTTAGGACCATCGTAGTGGGAATCCAGAGAATGGAAGGATGGAATCCCACACGCTACCGCACTGTGGTACGTACCTCCTCTAGTACCCCCTCGTGGCCCCCCCAACAACGGCGGGCGCTGGTGGGAAGTTGGTGCTGGAAAGGGAAGGGAAGCTTGGCACCTGAAGGGGGTACGGCAGAGTGTCCAATGCTGTGGACTGCACCATGATACCTGGTGTCTGTTATGTGCGTTTACGTAGTACATCTACACTAGATCTTGAAAACGTCTCCTCCAGCTTGGCACGATCATAGTAGTCTTCTGACGTGTACCTACTTTACATTACATGCCTACAAGATTGTGGGAGACGCGCAGACGGCATCTTTGTTGAATCCGATATCTTGGTCAGCTGTCATGGTCTGCCTGGCTTCAGCTACCTTGACCGGTCCCATCAAGTTTGTTCCCGGCAGCAAGGGAAGCTGGATAAGGTGTTGTGTGTTGACTGGTAAACCTTGACAACACTATTGAAGTGGCCTGCAGATGGAGAGAAGAGACTGGAGAGCTACCTGACTCGTGTTTGTCCAGCTGCTGATGGGTTAAAACAGGAGGCTTCCCTAGACTTTGGATACTTCAGTTGTCATGGGTAGCCTCCATGTGCTCTAGTCCGAGTAGGTGTGATGGACATTGTGGACGAACAAGAGTGAAACAAAAAGACCACAAAGTCCCCGAAGTTGAGAAAATAAGAAAATAAGCGCACGGCTGTTGCGTCTTTAACGTTAACAGCGATACAGGTAGCCTGTACAGGTGTAGCTAATAGTGTACGGTAATGGGTGGGGTTAGGTAGCTTATTGGCTCTCAGGGCAGTGGACAGTGGACACTGGGGTCCTTCCTTCTCTTTTTCTCTCCCCCTTCCCTCGCTCGATGATCCTCTTGATCCGGGCTCCGCTCCCCGAACACAGCACAAGCTCGCCAGGCACCATACCTAGGTATCCAGCATCATCCAGGGGATCACTCACCAACACCAAAGGGAGAGCTATCACAGGAGTCTTTCCCTCTTGACTTGCAAAGTACCTCACATGGCCTGTTGTGTGTTGGTTGGTACTCCTCTATCACTTGGCACCATCACATTTCCACATTTCACTTGGTTGGAGATCGTCCGAACACGAACTCTTTTTTTCTCCCCTTCAGGGCCTTTTTTTTTCTTCGCCTCCTTCAGCTCCGGTCTGCGGAATGCGCGCAAGGCTCTCAGGCTCTCAGGCTCAGACGCGTCAACTCTCTGGCCCGTGGACGGACAGAGTGTGGGATGGAATGAAGAAAGTGGGAGAGTGACAGGAGGGAGAAAAAGCGAGGGAAAAAGAAAAAGAAAGAAAGAGGATTTGACGTTGAAATGGAAGCTTCCATTCTCCGCTATTCATCAAGTTGCATTCCGCTGTCGCAAGTCAACCCATTCCGCGTCCGCCGCC